GTTTACCTGCTTCCTGTTTACATTTGGAGTGTTAATGTTTCCAAATGCACGTGGATTATTACAGCCAGAGAAAGCGTTGTTTTGAGTGTCATGCGGTGGTACAGCAGCGTCCCCCTCGCGGTGGTCCATCGTTGTCGGTCGACCCCGAACAGCGCCGCTCCGCTCAGCCCACAGCCAGCCGCCTCGACCTCCGCTGCTCTCCCAACACCCGGGGTAAGCCAAACATCACTCCGTGGGAAAGTTGTATTGTGTGTGCCGTGTATTGTGATGTTGGCTTCAGTGTGGCTTGGACCAGGACACGGATGAATATCTCCAGATAAATGGTCTGTACTTATATAGCGCTTTATCCATTCTTTAAGACCCCTCAAAGCGCATACTTTACATACTACATGTCATTCACCCATTCACACAGAGCAGTGTATGTTACTCTAGGAACTAACATTCATACACATTCACACACCGTTGTTGGCCATGCCATCGGGAGCAACTCAGGGTTAAGTATCTTGCCCAAGGATACATCAACATGTTGACTGCATGGGCTGGGATCGAACCCACAACCTTCTGGTTGAAAGACGACCGCACTCCCTCGCAGCCACAGTCGCCCCAGATAGCAGCAGACAGATTGTGATGATCAGTGCGTTGCTTTGTTGAAGTCGAGTTGGTGGATTAGTATTTTTTGTAATCGTTTGTACAGAGACGGCAGAATGAGAGACACTGCTAGAGTGTGCTTCCCATGCCCAACGTTTCCATGATTTTGGTTAGTTTGCTGGTGCAGCAGATCAGCATTGTTTGCATATATGTTTTGTAGCGGGTTGATGTCAATGGGTCTTAAGAAATTCGAAAGTAATGCATATATTAATAGAGCCGTGACTACTCCTGCCGATGCCATTTTTAATTCCTTCACCCTATGATCCTGAACATGGTCCTTTTAACACCAGGATGGCACGAGAGCACAGACGTGTGAGCCCAGTGGATGACCTTGGAGTGGAGGGAAACAGGAACAAACAACAGGTTGTTTGGACACTCGCTAGGTGCCGGGTTCAACACATTTGCTTGTTTTACATCTGACTCTACTTGCCAGAAAAACGCTCCAACCACACCGTTTAGTGGAAGGATGGTCTTGGGCTCTACGGCAAGTGGTTCTGGGTCGTAAATGCGAGACAGAGCATCAGGTTTTTGGTTCTGGGATCCGGGACGAAAAGAGAGTGTGAAGTGAAACCTACTGAAAAATAGTGTCCTGGCCTGGCAAGAGTTGAGGCGTTAAGCTTTTCTAATGTACTCCAGGTTTTTATGGTCTGTCCAAACTAAGAAAGGTTGCTCTGCCCCCTCTAACCAGTGTCTCCATACCTCAAGGGCTGCTTTTACAGCTAACAGTTATTTATTTCCCTCATCATAGTTTTTCTCTGCCGTTGTCAACTTACGCGACAGGTAGGCACACGGGTGCATCTTGTTGTCCTCCACGGATCTCTGAGACAATACTCCTCCAATCCCCTCATTGGAAGCATCGACTTCGACCACAAACTGGCGCTGGGGATCCGGGATGGTGTGTATGGGAGCTGTGGTGAACCTTTCCCTGAGGCGCTGGAAGGCGACGTCAGCCTGGGGAGTCCATTTGAAGGGAACCTTAGGAGATGTAAGAACATGCAGAGGGGCAGCAACAGGTCTGAAGTTTCTTATAAACTTCCTATAGAAGTTTGCGAACCCAAGAAACTGCTGGACCTTCTTCCTGGAGTCTGGTGTTGGCCACTTGGAAACTGCACTGGCTTTTGTAGGATCCATCTGTATCTGATTTGGTGAGATTATGTATCCTAAAAAAGACACCTTTCTGCGTGGAACTCACATTTCTCTGCCTTGACATATTTGATTCTCAAGCAGTTTCTGCAGAACCTGACGGACATGGTTAACATAGGATTCAGAGTCTGGTGAGACAAAATATCATCAAGATACACAAACACAAAAACATTCAAAAACTCTCGCAAAACCTCATTCGCAAAAGCCTGAAACACAGCCGGTGCATTGCACAGTAGGGGTGTAACGGTATCCGTATTCGTCCCGTACCGTCACGGTTCGGACGTCACGGTTCGGCACACACAGTCACACGACGAATACGCATTTTTTTTACGAGTGGGAAAAAAGTGTCATTCAGGGCAGTATCCACTACACTATATATAATCCAGGGGGCGGTATTGCGCCTAAAAGCTGTTTGCCAGCCGCCCTTAAACAACAAATGAAGAACAAGAAGAAACACAATAACAAAACGAACAAAATACAAGAAGAAGAAAAGTTAGTATGGCGATTTCAGATAACACACAGGAGCTAGAACCCACCTGCTTCTTTTAAATCAGCTGTGTGGGAACATTTCGGGTTCCCTGTGGACTACAATAACGATGGAGTGCGAGTGGTCGAGGACGGTGTGTCGCCGTTGTTCTACAGTGGTGCGGTATGCTAATGGTAACACACGCCAAACATGCTAAATCATATCAGAAGGCATCACCCAGATTTGCCAATCACCGGAGCCCGGCAAAAGACAACAGCAGTTCAACAGCTGATCCCCGCCGTGAGACCAAAATAAATAACGGAAGCTTTTGGCATATGTTTTTCAACGACTTTGCGCTCTTGAAACACTTTCTTATTATTTATGATGTCATATTTTCAAGACATTCTTTTTAGCTTTACAGCTTGATGAAACCTTTTGTTTGACATCAGCCATTATAGATAATATGGCCATCTGAGTGTACTGTGTATGGTTTGTTTTTAACTGTTTAATACATGTAATTATTCAAAAAAGAGTTATTTAAAAAAAAAAACTGAAACTTGCACTACTGTTCAAACATAAATAACAACAAACCTGGAATTATGCATTTGGGACTTTTTTTTTGCTTTTTCTTGTTGTACCGAACCGTGACCCCCAAACCGAGGTACGAACCGAACCGTGACTTCTGTGAACCGTTACACCCCTATTGCACAGTACAAAAGGCATTACCAGATACTCATAGTGGCCACTCTGAGTGTTGAATCCTGTCTTCCACTCATCCCCCTTCCTTATTCTAACCAAGTGGTATGCATTTCTTAAGTCCAACTTGGTGAATACTTTGGCAGTCTGAAGTAGTTTGAATGCAGAGGACATGAGTGGCAGAGGATAGCGGTTCTTTACCGTAATGTCATTGAGAGGACTGTAGTCTATGCAAGGTCTCAGAGACCCATCTTTCTTTCCTACGAAGAAAAACCCCGCCCCGGCTGGAGAAGATGAAGGGCAGATAATCCCTGATTTGAGTGAGGAGGAGATGTAGTCGTCCATTGCTGCTCTCTCTGGTCTTGAGATAGAATAAAGTATTTCTTTGGGAATGGGAGCTCCCGGTCGGAGATCAATGGGACAGTCAAAAGATCGGTGAGGAGGTGACATGGATTTCGATTTGTTAAAGGCTTCCTTTAAATCGTAGTAACATGGAGATACTTTCTGTAAATCAGGATAATCAGGATGATCTATAATAATCCTACCAGGATCAGTTGGTGCATTAACAGGCCTTGAATTTGTACACCTGTTAATACAATCCTCTCCCCACCCTTTAATTTTCCCGGAACGCCAGTCAATGTGGGGGTTGTGGATCTTTAGCCATGGAAAACCCCAAATAATCGAATGCTGAGCAGATTAAAAAATGTGGAACTGCATAATTTCAGTGTGGTCCTTTTTACAGTAATCTGGATGGGTTCTGTGCCATGAGTCACTGTAAATAACAAACGACCGTCTAATGCACTGGCGTTAATGGGCGAGATAGAGGAACAGTTTTTATCTTTAGCTGTTTGACTATGCCCCAGTCCATAAGACGTTCGTCAGCTCCTGAGTCTATTAGCACCCCTTGGTCAATGTCCTGATTATTTATGAAAATGTCTACCTGGGTAACGAGACGAGGAAGAAAGTCTGTGGAAAGTTTGCTCACCAGCGCCCTCCTCTTGGCTGGTGAGCATGTTCTTTTCCCGGACAGGAGTCGAGTTGGTGATCCATCTGGCCACAATAGAAGCAGCAGCCCTCCCGCAGACGGCGCTGCCTCTCCTCCAGAGAAAGCCTGGTTCTACCCAACTGCATGGGTTCGTCTGTGTCAAGCGGAGGCGCTGTCCTCCGACGGTCCGAAGCCGCGGGCTTGAAAACTTCCCCTGGCGGAGCGGCTCTCTGAGGAATGCCCTGGAAACTGGGATTTCCGTCACGGGTGCGCCAGCGCTCTCTCTCCCTTTCCCGAAGTCGGTTGTCGATCCGGATGGACACAGCGATGAGAGATTCCAGGTCCCGTGGCACCTCCAGAGGAGCCAGCTGGTCCTTTATCGGATCTGTAAGTCCAGTCATAAAGGCGTCATGGAGAGCCGGAGTATTCCACCAGCTGTCCGCTGCCGCCGTGCGAACCTCGATTGCATAATCAACCACCTGGCGGTTGTGCTGGCGCATCTGAAGAAGTCTTCTGCTGGCTTCTGTAGCAGGCGAGGAGTGGTCAAATATGCGACTTATGGTGTCTATAAAGTTGGATAATGAATAGCATAGCTCGGATTTTCTGGACCATTCTGCAGTAGCCCAGGCTGATGCTCTTCCAGGATAAACGCCACTTTAGCATGGTCTGATGAAAAAGCCCCTGGATTGTGTTGAAAATGCAGATCGCACTGCACAAGGAAGGCTCTGCAGTTGGAGTCTCCGGAGAATCTCTCCGGAAGAGCCAGCCGTAATGAAGAAACAACCTGGATCGGTTTGACAGCGTCAGCAGGATCCTCGACAGGAAAGCAGTGGATGACGTCACCGGAGGAGCAGTCTGCAGATGAGCGATGAATTTATGCATGTGATCCGTCAGCTGTTGTATCTGTGAAGAGACGGAATCTTGGAGCTCGGCCTGGCGTCCTACAAGCTCTTTAACTCCTTGGCTGATTAAGCCCAGCTGTTCCTCATGGTGAAAAATCCTCACGCCTTGGGCTGACAGGGCGGCGTGAAGTGTCTTTGGGTCGGCTGAGTCCATTGTGGTCGGTTCGTTCTGTCACGAACTTGGAAACACAAGGAAAAGGACTCAAATGCACGACCCGGGAGACAGAGGTAAAGTATAAGTAATATACTTTATTTCCAAGATATGTATACAAAAAATTATCGACACTCTTAACGAGGTGACAAGAAAATCGCTTACTACATGAGGAACAAAATGTACAAAGAGTTTCAGGAGCATGAATCAGGCTTGAGACAAGATATGAAATCGCTGGTAAGCAGACTACTGGCATGGAGACAGGACAAGACAAACTGACACAAGACAAAGGAAGGCTGGGGAATTTAAACAAAAGGTAATTGGCACAGGTGGAAACAATCAGGGGCGGGGGTGACGCTGATGAGAGCGGGAGACACACACAAGGATAGGGAGTGAAGGGACCTGGAATGAAATGCAAAAGGTGAGTACCAAAATAAGACAGGAAGTGGGAGACAAGACAAAAAATGATTAAACATAAAACATGACTGAACTCAACACTTTTGACGGGACACAACAGTGTGTTAATCCATCTATCCATCAATCTGCCTGCATGAACCTGCTAAATGATAAGCTGTTAAAGGTTACTGCATAGATGTCCGAAGGGTCATCAACAGACACAATTTATCAACTCGTCAGTTGTATTCCTGGAGTTCTATTGTCTGCTGATGATGTACCAAGAATATATATGAGATTACATTTTTGGCACAGTGCTGGAATAATTCATGCTTCAGTAGTAGATGAATATCTAATTTGTGACAGATTGGGAATGATGAAATTAACTCAAGGTTCTTAGAAGGAAAAAGTACAGCTCTCACATAGCAAATCTATAATTTGTATTTATGGGTAAGAGATTCATTCTTTTTTTTCAAATTGTGATTTATGACTTCAGTGACCCCTGGTGTCCCTCATGTTACTGTAGTTGTCAAGAGGACTTTACCAGTAAAAACACTGGATGCATGAATATATACAATGCAATACCATGATACTTCATTATCGTTTCAAGACAGAATTTTCTTGCATCACAGCTGCGCGATGTGCAACACCAACAAGGAATAAGACAGTATGTTCAAGACCCTTTAAAATGTATTAGATCTTGGATTTAACTCAGTATTTAACTCGCTGGACACTGTATTTCCGTTTTGATGTGAACAATTCACATTAGCTGTTCAGGACATGGTTAGTGGCAGAGGCAGTGTGTTTTTGCATTTCTGGTTGACTCATAGTTTTTTGGGGAAAATAAACTACAGAAAGGAGTTAAGATAAAAGTAGTGCATGAGGGCATCTCCTACTGAAACAGATAGTTGTGCTAGTGAGAGAGAGTTTAGGATTGATCTCTCCCGCAGATGTCCAAGGCAAATTTCATGGAGTCTGTCCAGAGGTGATAAATCTAGAAGCAGAGCCCATGTTTCCGCTTCCATTAAAGCTGTTTGGGTCAACACGTGGTCCTGTCTATTTTTGACCTAGTCTCTTCTCTACCAGTGTGCCAGAAGGAGAGTACTACACTGTTCATTCTCACTTTCACAGGAACTACCTGTACATGGTTATGTCTGATGAACGAATGCACGATTTGTGGAATGATTAATGGATTGGTCGACAGCTCTATGGGGAGTACCAAGAGAACCAGGGAGGCTCCGGGAGACGGGAGGCCACACGCCTGCTGACTGAGAGACAGATCAAGAAACATGGAAACCACCCTCGCAGCCACGGCAGGACAAGACATGGCCGACGTATCCACGGTCAGAATGGATATCACAGCAGACATCAGCTTGGCTATTACAGCAGGCAGAGGAGGCGTCAGTCCGCCATGGACGCAGAGGGCGAAGAGCAGGATCAAACTGCTGAACCCGACCCCACGTCCTCCACGAAAAAGAAACGCTCCTACTCCAAGTGTAGAGGTGAGCATCCCTAGGAACAACAAAAGAAGGTCAATAAACTTTACTACTACTTTGTTGTGGTTTTTGGTTTTGTCAGACTGCATAGCACGGGTGCAGCGATTCCTGGTGACCAGGTTGGGAGAAGACTGGATCTTCCTCATTATGCTGGGCATCACAATGGCGCTGGTCAGCTGGACAATGGACTATGCCAGCACAAAAAGCCTGCAAGGTAAGTCTACAAAACCCAGAATGCATTGCAGATCTAACAGAGTAGAGTAGAGGCCAAGCTGGAGCAAAATCGCTTGGATATTTGCATCTTTCTTTTCTTCTCTGAATTTTGTTATTCTTTGTTTCATAACTTATTTACCATCTTCTGCATCTTTCTTGCATTATTTGTATTTCTTCCTAAAGTGCAGCTATTCATTCATTTATTTTTAGCCATTGTTCTTTTGTTTATAATTTCCCAATTTCCCCCCTTTTTTATCACTTCCTTTATCTTCCTTCCACCCACCTTCAGCCTATAAATGGATTTATGGGGAGCTGAAGGGGAAAATCGCCTTGCAGTTCCTGGCCTGGGTTTCATATCCCCTGATCTTCATCCTGTTCTCCTCCCTCTTCTGTCACCTGGTCGCTCCTCAGGCTATTGGTCTGTAGCCCAGTCCTCCTTATGGCTGTGTTCTCTGCGCTCGTCTACCTATAGTTTCTGGTCAATTACCTCTAAATGATGACTGCATATTAGACAATGTACATTTAGTCTGCAGCATCACATATTGGAATAGTCATCTCAGCTAATCAGTGAAATTAGATGCTGTAGCATTTTATTGAAATGAAACCCTGTGGAGTTTATCCCTTCAGGGTGCATTATTCAAACTGACAAGAATGTTCTTTATCTAATAGGTTTATTACTTACTATTTTAAGCAGGTGTAGAGAAAGTGCTTAAAATGGGATCTTGCTTCTTTGTCCAACATTTCACATGGCTGCTGCTATACAGTCGCTGTAGAGTCAACGGGCATTTTCTTTTCAAATGTGGCTGTACAGCTGTGGGACATAAGCTTCAGACTTGGGCTGTCAAAAATAATGTTGTTTAATCAAAACACTCCAGTGAACGGGACAGTAAATAAATAAATCGACTAGGAAGTAAAAGACTTGTGACATGACTCGATGACTTAATTACTTGTATGTGTGTTTATTTAATGCTTTCAGTTTAAATATAAAAAATATCCAACATTGGCAATGTTGTCAAACATCATTCAGCTTGGCCTGATATCACATGTATCTCTATTTAGTTAAAGTGATGTTGTGACCATAGTACTGCTTGTTGACGCTCCTACAATCAAAAATAATGTTCTTATTCTTATGTTTTTTTGGAAAATATACTTACATTTTAAATATATGTTTACAGGCCTTCTCTACACAATTTTGTATTCTATAATTCAAATGATTCAATGAGTCCCCTGTTCCCCTCCAAACAACCTTTTGTTCCCCTTGTGTCTCAGGTTCTGGCATCCCAGAGCTGAAGACCATCCTGAGAGGCGTGGTGCTGAAGGAATATCTAACTCTCAGGGCCTTTGTTGCTAAAGTCATCGGCCTGACGGCTGCCCTGGGCAGCGGGATGCCTGTAGGCAAAGAGGTGGGTCAACCACATTTGTATCATTGATTAAGTAACTAATCTCTTCCTGTATGAAGCTGTCAGAATATCAATGTGCATTTCCACACAATTGTCATCTATTTATTTAAAGGAAAGTAGAACAAATATGAAAAGGTTGAAAATGGTTTGCCCCTGCTTATAGTAGATACCTGTTCGTCTGTCCTACATATTATTCATCAGTATTCACAATAATAGCTGCATCAATCAAAACGATAATACATCACAATACAATGTAATCCAGGTAAATGTGCAAAATGGCTTCAACACTCCCTCTACCTTTTTCATTTAATTCAACCATCAAGTGCATCTCCCCTCTGGTTTTTGGTATTGTACTGCACACACTGCTATAAAACGTTTTTGAATGAACTGTACTTCATGTCCTCTCAGGGCCCGTTTGTCCACATCGCCAGTATCTGTGCTGCCGTTCTCAGCAGGTTCATGTCCTTCTTTTCAGGAGCTCAGGTAAGCTGATGTTAAGAAAATATTGAATTTCAAGCAACTGTTACCTGTGATTATAATACAATGTGTACTGTATGTATACTCATCTATATGTCATCTTTCTGTTCTCTCAATCCTCCCTCCTCTTCCTCCTCTCTGGATCAGTAGAATCCATACTGTTACACAGACATCCTGACAGTGGGCTGTGCTGTCGGGGTGGGCTGCTGCTTTGGGACTCCACTTGGAGGTACACAGTCTTCTCTGTTCTCTGTGTCTCTCTCTTTTGCACATCCCACATCTTCCCTCATTTGTATATACCCAGTACATTTATATTGTAAGCTATGTTCAAGGGGTTTAACATTTCTTTAAGTATCAACAAGTGTTCCATTTCACAGGAAAGACCAGGTAGTTTTACATGCACCTTTCCTGTTTTTTTTCAGTTCCTGCCTGTTTGATTGCTGCATATTTCCTTGTTGTCTTTTCCACCAGGTGTGCTCTTTAGTATAGAAGTAACATCCACATACTTTGCTGTGAGAAACTACTGGAGAGGATACTTTGCTGCTACATTTAGTGCCTTCATATTCCGAGTGTTATCCGTGTTCAACAAAGATGCAGGTACTGGTTGGAGAAAAAGTTTTCATAATTTTGACACTTATTTTAATGTTGTATTGGTGTGTGAGATACTGGCCAATATTATGACATGTTCTCTTTATCAAGCAAGCACTAGAGGGCACCCTTACTTCAAAAATGAAAACGCACATCATTTATTTACCAAATTGACAATGCCCTCCTCTAATATGAAGCAGAGCAGTATTTTATTACCTGATATGGGGGTCACCCAAGGGTCCTGAAGGAATGTTTAAGTGACTGCTGTGATCAAAATGGAATACGATGTTACTGTGTAATACACACTCAATCTATATATTAGTAGTAACAAGAATGTCACCAGCTATTTTATGCAATATATAGTCATTACCACCAGACTGTCAACTCAAGTGTCATGTGTTCCTTGCATTACTTGACTGAATCAATCAAACTGTTACTGGCCCTAACCTCCGTTAAATATAAAGTGTTTATCACAAATGTAAATCTACATGACCTCTTCTACTAAATTGAATATATTCTCATAACTATTTTAAGTCAAATTAAACTGAATAAATAATTTAGCGCACTCAATTTTGTAAGTAAGAATGGTATGTTAGTTTATGATTTCGAACAGACCCACACTCACACTAGAATGACCTTGTAATGCAAGGAAGTTGATCAGTGCCTCAGTAATACAGAGATGGTTGAAAATATTTGTTTAAATGTCCCTTTAAAGAAAATACGACAGCAGCCGCTGCTGTAAACCAATAACTATTGACAATTCTATTTAATAATCATTTTATGATATTTGAGTCAAAGTACCTATCCTGTACTTTGATCACTACAAAATGATTGTGTGAATTTCCTCTCTCTTTTTTCTTGTTTTCCAGTAACCATCACTGCTCTGTTCAGGACAAACTTCCGCATGGATTTCCCTTTTGACCTGCAGGAGCTGCCTGCCTTCGCCATCATTGGGTGAGTGGCTGGATAATGGAGACAAAGGCGTTCATGGCAGCGTCTTTGTGTGTGTGCTTTATGCAAATGTAGCATTTAAAACATTGAGAGTCCAATTACTGGTTCACCGTTTACCTCAAGGGGGGAAATGGAGAGACGTGCTGTATAACACACAGGCATGAACAAATGAATTAACTTGGCTAATGTGGAGTTTATTTGTTTTGGCAGGATCTCCTGTGGGTTCTTGGGGGCGTTCTTCGTCTATCTCAACCGACAGGTGGTGCTGTTCATGAGGCGCCCCAACGCCATGACACGCTTCCTCACCAAACAGTGAGTCTTTGCTCAAAACGCTTGATATACATTTTTACATTTGCTATAATTGAATTGGTTAAAGGATGCTTATGGTATAGGATTTTTACTAGTTACGCACTTAATCTACATTGACTGATGCCAAATCAAAATTAAATATGAATGAATTATTGAGTTTATATACAGTATATTACAGTGGCGGGCCGTGCATTTCACACCTAGGCCTTCAGTGATGTCCGACACAGTCCTACCTGAATTATTCCACCTCTTAATACCATCATTATGACGCCATGGCTCTAGAAACTATACATTTAGACAGAAACGCAGTATAACCGGGCGTTGCATCACCTTAACATAGTCAAGTACAACAGAGTTATATTAATATTTCCGAAGCATTTATAATCAATATATCCGCATTTACAATTAAGAGTGTTAAACTACCAGCTTTAAGATCGCTTGGATACTGTCAAAACTTAAAAATAAAAGGGGCTTTTAAGGCATTAGTCTACAAAGTTTTATTAAGTCCACCAAAAGTATGTGAGCTTTAACAAGTTTGTTCACTAAACAGCGCATTGTCGCACCCAAAGCAGTTTCATTTAAGAAACGTGACGATAAAGACACAAACTATTCACTGAAAATAAAAGAAAACAAACAATTAATTTGCATTTGTTCATGAGGATATATTTGCGACAGTGGTGAAAGTGTATTCCTAGCCCTGAATGTCCACTTTGATAAAGGTTCAACCAAAACAATTCAACAAGTCTCCTTGAGTACTTTTACTGCACAGCTGAGCCAGTGCGCCACACACATCTCTATATCTCTTGCAGAAGCATCAAACATTTATTTTTTATATATTTGTCATTTTAATTACATATATATTAATTCGTTAATATTGATTTAATATTAACGACATAAAATGACAAAAATATATTAAAATAAAAAATAAAATGCTTTGTACTCACCAAAACAACTGATTATTTGAACACAAAATCCATCCTCCTTTCTTTCCTCAAGAAGACTTCAATGACTCTGTTGTACAGTTTATCTGTGCGTTTCAGTTCCACCAATAAGTCATTTTCTATAGACATGAAGGCTAATGATGAAAGCCGAGTCTGTCCAGTAGAATTTCTGGCATAAGTTTTAATTCGCTTTAAGGCCGAGAATGACCGCTCGACAGAAGCAGTGGACACAGGGATAGTCACTGCCACACATGCCAATGTGTAAAGCTGCCCCATGCTCTCACTCAGATTTTTCTGCTTAAGGAAATCAAGGAGATCAGTGGGACTTTTCCCTTCAAAATCAGTCATGGCATACATTACAGTCAGTTCTGTTTTTAGCCGGGACAGATCGAACAGTGTTCCGTGACTCTGTGTTAATTTGGCTAAGGCTGTTTGCGGGAATTTTTTCCGGTAGGTCTGAAAGTGCTGGGGGTCCAGGAGGGAGAGAAACATTAATTTTTCGTGGTCTTGAAACCTACTCCGTATCTGGCAAAGAATGTTGTCCAGAATATTGCTGTGGAGTTGTTGGTAGTATGCGCGAAGGTCTCCTTGTGCTGTACGTGGGCCTCTGCGTGCGCTCGGACCATTTGAGATGCGCGCTGTGTCCTCGTAGATCTGACGAAACTGGCACCTCTCTCGCTCAATTGTGTCACAAAACTCGTTCACCCTTGTCAGACAGAATTGTACATCCAATGTTTGTTTCTGTAGTATTCCAAAGAGCACATCTGAATGCTTAAAAAATCCCATTGAATGTTTCAAGCAAAAAACAAAACTCAAAATCATCCAGACGTGCATTAAATCCATCAGCGCTAAGCATAGTATCCCCATCATACTCCTCATGATGTTCCAGTATGTGGTCAAACACCTCCTTTAGGGAAACTCTCTTCTCAAAGACTGCATTGACCAATCTCGATGTATATTGCCACCGCGTTGGTGAAACATTAGGAAGACGACGCTTGCAAATGTCATCCAGCAGTTGCGTGCGCTTAGGGGATCTGGAGAAAAATGCTGCAAGGCCATTGAGGCTGGCAAAAAAGACCTTGCATTCTTTAAGCTTTGAGGCCCCTTGAGTCAGTACTACATTTAGTCGATGTGCATAGCAGTGAATGAATAAGGCCATAGGTGCCCTCTCCTTAACTTTAGCCTGCACCCCATTTAGTCCAGATGCCATGACCGCTGCGCCATCATAACACTGTGCCACAACTTTATCCAGACTACATTCATATTCCTCCATGAAACGGAAAATAAGAGCGGCAATGTCATCAGCTCGCTTGCCGCTTGTAACATCTTCAAATCTGACAAACCGCTCCTTGACACCTGTGTCCGTCACATAACGCAGGACAAGTGCCAGCTGTGCTACATTACCCACGTCTGTCGTCTCGTCCACCATAACAGCGACAAAGGGTGCTTTTTTAATCTCCATTTTGATCTCTTCTCCCATCACTTCAGCAATAGCATAAATCAGGTCGTTTTGTATTTTGCCTGACGTCCCAGTAAACACTTTGTTTGTGGACAGGTGGTAATGCAAGTCTGTGTTGTTCTCAGCAAGCAAAGAAGAAGCTCCACGTAGTTTCCTCTGTTTCTGGACTCGGCGCTTTCATCATGTCCCCTAAATGAAAGTTCCTGTTTACCCAAAAACAGGACACAATCAATCAGTCTTTTCAATATTTCCCTATTTTTGTTCACCCTTTCGTTGTGGAGCTCCGTTTCCCGGCGCACTTGTTCGTTGAGCTGTAGATCCACTCGGGTGTCCCCAAAGGTTTTCAAAAGCACCATTGCTTGTAAGTGCCCAGCCGTGCTTTGGTGTCTCGTTGCTGCCTTGGTTAGACAACTCAAGTTTGCAAATCCAGTGTGGCTCCAAACACCAAATCGATCATTTGCAAATAGCAGGCATTCCCAGCAGTACAATTTGCAGTGCCTCTCGGAGGCTGTGAGCCAGGGGTACCGCTCGTAGTTAGTGATTTGAAAGTGGCGGACAAACCCTTTCCCCCGCTGTGATAGGCTCGCTAGCGTCGGGGTTGGCCGTTCTCTTCTCACAATGTCTAGCTTTTCTTGAAAAGTTCGTCTTGAAAATGGCGTTGTAATTATATCTGCGACCAAATCGATCTCTTCTCCTCCTTCAGCCATTGTGGGTTGAAAAAAAACAGCTTGTAGAAATCTACACAAATTAGCTCGTTCAAATTCAAGTTCAGTTTGCTAGCTCTACATAGCTCTGCCTCTCAATAGTGCGTATCCAATCAAAAGACGTGCACGTGCTGACGTCATCGTGCTAGCTGGCCCGTTGTCGCCAACTCAAAATCTGATTGGTTAACGCCACAGTTTTGTTTCCGTTCACTTTAAGCTACAGGCGCCCGCACTGTTGATTCTGAAGGCCTAAGGGCAGATTTCTTGGACCCTGGCAACACATTATGGCTGAAATATGATTGGATAAAAGCTCTAACATAAAGGCCAGCCCTCCAAATCTTGTTCTGAGGCTGGAAGCAGCGCAACCAAGAGGAAAGCTATGAAATGAAAAGAATAGACTATGGGGAATAATTTAATACATATTTGTGGAAAAAATATATCAAAATTACATTTATATTCTGATGATGTTTAGGCCAGCAGAGAAGGCCTTGCTGGCCCTGACGGCCCACCACTGGTATATTATATGCTTTAATATTATTGGCAGCTAATCCTAGGTTTATACTGAATTTACAGTTTGAAGTATTTGTATCTATTAATTGCATTTTTCCTTGTAAATGTAGTGTTTGAGTCAAAAATGTTGTTCATGAGAAATAATCCGTTATTATTTATATTCAATTTTCTTCTGTTCCCCCCCAGCCGGCTGATTTTCCCTGCTGTGGTAACACTGGTCATCGCCACCCTGACCTTCCCACCTGGGTTTGGACAGTTCATGGCAGGAGAGGTCAGAGATCATATCTTGTTATCCCACATTTCAGTCATTCAGACAGGGAGACCACAAGGAAGTCGTCTTTTTGTCAGTTTATCAACATACAGCACCAGGAAATGCCACCCAAAGAAGCAATTATCAGGACTAGGGATGTCATGAGCAAAGTCAATACCACATTTCTGGACACAACACAGTACCCGGTTTGGTACATTAGCGTTGGAGCTGTAGTGCGCTATGGGCTTGTGTCTAACTTTGAAGTGAGGACTTCAGAAATAAATTGTGGAATTTCATTAGTGTATCTACCGGTACATTTGTGTTATTTTGAAATTGTGTTAATGCAGAGTATGCCTGCTTTCAAACAATACAGATCAACGTTGTGCTGTCCAGTATCCATCTGCAGGCCATGAAGAAAAATATCCAGAAAGCAAAATGACCAACATTATTATATATCATATTTGATGTTATTGGATTCCTTCAGTGTGAGGCATCATCACAGAGCTGTAGACGTAATAAATATAAGCCTGCTGTGTTGAATTTACGGAAGCTACATCACAGGATCAAAGCCTATCGAAGTTCAAACTGTGACCTACCAGCTTCACAGGGAGACACCAACATGAACATTTCCCTTGCAGCTTTGAGGGGAACAACCACAGCCTTTGATCTGACAGTGGTAACACCAATCAGTATTAAATAATTGAGAAATAATACATTCATTTAAATCTACAGGGCTGTTTTAACACGGTTTGCCGAAAGCCTCATTATTTTCAGTGTTTGGCAAAGTGTGACAACGAGCTAGATAAAGTGTGTCACCAAGATGATTCTAATAATTGGTATTAGGAAAGGAGCTGTAAGCTCTGCTGCTAAAGCAAGAACCACATCTATGCTTGAATATCCTGAGCACCATCAGCTTACTAATATGCATATGTGGCCTTACTGTGATGTCAGTGTCTGTGCTTATCCTTGATTGGATGGCTTGTTCCCTTTTTCGTGAACAACTGGAGTTTTAAGGTGAAAGCTCTTACAGCTATAGTTATAGATGTGTAGGGCAGCCCAATTTGGAAAAGAGGATCTGCACCTTGCAGCGTTGTTTTATTAAGTCAGTAGAATGCAGCACCTCAATATTAAATTGAGAAATGTATCTTAACATATGTTGCCTTTTATCAAATACTTCCTGACATTTGAAAATTGCACTAGTCCATATAACGATTTTTATTGTCAATAAAATGTGCAGCTCCCACCTAGTATGAGCTAGGCGTTTGTCATTTGCTTTTGTAACTGCATGTATATCTATCCGTGTGCATATGCGAGTCAGCGACACCCTAACATGTTTCTCCCCTTGCCCTTAGTGCATATCTTTCACGCCCTTATTGTATAAACGTCGCACACCTTTTTATAACAGCATTGGCTGTTAAGTAAAGTGATACATTTAAAACATTTCACTTAAGAAAAGTAATCCCATATATATTTTGGGAAATGAAATGCTTCCAATCCAACTTGATAGCACAGCGCAGAGTGACAGCAGCAGCGGCAGCTCAGAGAGAGGAGATTAAAAGCTACATGAGTTGTGAACCAGACGTGAACCCAGAACTTCAAAAAGGCGCAGGATAGCCTATTATTACACCCAGCTCCGTCTAAGGCTCACAGCAGCCTTTCACAGAGCAGATCCTCAACATCTCCCTTTCACACACCGAGCCATCAATTCCAGGCTCTCCATTCAAGTGTAGCTCAAGGAGGAAGCAGAGAAAATGAAATGAAGTTGGCGTTGTTTTCCCCCGTGTGAAGCAGATGTGAGATGTACTGTGATTTGTGCCTGTGAGCGATTCAGCGGCATCTATGCAAATGTGGTGCAAAACGCTGCAAAAGTGAATTAGTCATTCATGAGTCATCTAAAGAGAATGAGTCATTGGACACGGCCACCCGTACCCGTCTGCTTCCAGCTTTACGGATGACTTCCTGTCTGTTTGTCCCACTTGACTTTCTTCCTCCCTTCACTTATTTTTACTCCTTTCTCATACATTTCCTCCTCAACACATTTGTTTCTATTATTTATTTGTATCACTCCTCTCTCTTTGGCTTCTTCTCCCAACTCTTCCTTACCCAAAGCTTCCTCTCACATCCCTCCCTTATTCTCTATTCCTCCCATCCTTCTCTATCACTCGCTTTTCATCCCTCTTTTGACTCTTCCTTCTTCTTCTCCAGTTTCTTTACACATCCCTGTCTTTCTCCTCTTCACTTCCTCTTTAATTATCATCTAATTCCCTCTACCCCCCCTTCTCCCACTTTACCCTGTCCTTTTCCTTTATCCCCTTATTTGCCACTTCTCTCATCCATCCCATCCGCTTCTCCTTCCTCTCCTCCCCCTCTCCAGCTGATGCCAAGAGAGTGTATCAACTCCCTGTTTGACAACTTTACGTGGACAAAGATTTCAGGGTCTTCTCCGGTGGGTTTGGGCCTCTCCGCCGCCTGGCTTCACCCTGACGTCAGCGTCTTCGTCATCCTGCTGCTCTTCCTATTCATGAAGGTGTGTGGCTCGCTCAAAGTGTAGGCTTTTTTGCTGGATTGGATAGGGGTTGGATTGATGGTCGAGTGTGTGATTGTGTTTGGATTGGGCAAAAGTGTGAATGAGTGTACTTGGCTTTCTCCACCTGACGTAAGCATTTACGTCATCATCGTCCTCCTCTTCATTGGGTGCATCTGTTGCAGGTCACTCATGTGGTGTGTTGTTGAAGTGTGTGTGTGTGTGTGTGTGTGTGTGTGTGTGTGTGTGTGTGTGTGTGTGTGTGTGTGTGTGTGTGTGTGTGTGTGTGTGTGTGTGTGTGTGTGTGTGTGTGTGTGTGTGTGTGTGTGTGTGTGTGTGTGTGTGTGTGTGTGTGTGTGTGTGTGTGTGTGTGTGCGTGCGTGCGCCTTTGTCTTCCTCTTGTCTTTCTGGCCAAGGTCAACAGTTCTGGAAAGCTGCCAGCAGTTCTAGCAGTCTTGTGTTTTCTTGTAAGCAGCTGCGTGCACACACACACACACACACACACACACACACACACACACACACACACACACACTGGATAATCACACATCCCTTCTATCTCAGTAGTTATCAGCAGTGGCATGACCAGAATTCTGGTGTAGGTTCTGGATTGAATGTGGGGGACAGATGACTACTAACAGACTAGGAACTACCCACATACATGTTGATAACTACCCCACGATAACAAAGCAGCTTCAATACTTTTAATAAGCGGCATATATCATTTTAAAATAATAATACAAATAATAATAATAATTCAATGTATTCATATAGCCCCTTTGAAACATAGCTACAAAGTGCTTTGACATAAAAATACACAAAGAGCAAGTGAACTAAACAATAGCATCTTAACATAGAAACACATAGAAAATAATAAAATGCATATATGAAGAATAAATCACAAAAAAAAAATCACAAAAAAGCAAAAGTGACTTAAAAGTGCTGACAGATTTTGCAGCCCTAATCTCCTCAGGCAGGTTGTTCAAACCTCCAGGAGCTCTGACAGCAAAGGCTCTGTCTCCTTTGTGTTTGAATCTGGAACTTGGAACGACCAGCAGCGATGCCTTTTAGGATCTCAGGGTGCGGGACTGGGCATTGGGCATTAACAGCTCAGATAGATAGCTTGTGGTGAGGCCTCGCGAAGCCTTACAAGTCAGCAATGGAATCTCAAATCGATTCTAAAAGCAACAGGTAGCCAATGCAAGGCGTGATCGGTGTGATATGGATATATTTCCTGGACTGGGTTAAAATCCTTGCAGCAGAGTTTAGATGAGCTGGAGGGAGGCAAGAGGGATTTTTTTACTTATACCAGGAGGAGTCAATTGCAGTAATCTAATCTAATGGTGATGAAAGTATTGATGACAGTTTCAAGAGTTTGGGTATTTTAATCGTTAAAGCAGCATCAGGGTATTTTAATCTTTAAAGCAGTGTCAGTGAACTAACTGGTTGGAAGAGAACAAGCAGTGTCATAGAGCTTGTAGCCTCAGTAACTAAATCTAGCATGGACCGGTATATAAAATCAGGCAATTAACTGATATGAATATGGATAACCTGAGAGCTGTCTGGTGCCTTTGTACTGAACGTTCTCTTGTGTATTTATTGAGCATGTGGTAAGACCTAATGCCAGGCTCCCACTGAAGAGCAGCAACTGCCCACGCCCATACAATGAGTGGGTGGTGTCAATACCACCCAGACAATGTCAGTGCCGAGCAGAGGTCGCGTTAACCGAATTTTTTTTTTTTTAACAATGACGGACAAATCTGAAAGCAGTCCGTCATTACAGATTAGAACAAACTCGGAACAGCGCCAAAGTTTCCCCGCAGCGAGGCTCCGGTGTTATGCCGTAATATGCATGCCCTCCAAAAAGGAAATCATACCGTTTCCAAACCTAACTGTGCCGTACAAATCATTGAAATGTCTGTTTTGGCTTTACGCTGTGCACGCTCCCGCGAGGTGCAGCAGCCATGCATAACACGGCGCATGTGAACTGTCCCCCCCGCCCCCCGTTGACAGTTCACGAGCATGCTTCCCCCCCCCCCCCGTCAGAGTTGTGTAAAGGCCGACGGGTAATTCTGGATTTTGACAGAAGTTTTACGATCCTGTCCGTCAAAATGACGGGCAGCGAAAAAGTGTAGCGCAACCTCTGGTGCCGAGGACCTCATCTGAAAGAACTAGATGACAGTCCGACTGGAATTGAATAGAGCTGAGAATAATCAATAGATCCAAGATCACACACACAAAAAATGTGATTTTTCCAATATTGTCCAACTCATTTAGGCCAAATGGGGCGAAGCCTGCGAGCTAGTTCAGGCAGTCAACTCGAGCGCCAATGATACATTAACACGTGACGCACCTCGTCCCTCTTACAACCAACCAACGCATTCTCCTAAACATGCCGCTCTATTTCAGCTGCCAGATCTGCCTGCCTCTGCCTCGCTATTGCTGCTGCGTTTGTGCCCTGCTATTGCGTTCACATTGCTACTGCTGCTGTGTTTCATGTTGCTACTGCTTGCCTGTAAATGATTTTATGAAGCCGGATTGGACAACAACTCCAGCACTGTTTCAAGCCTCATGTTTGACATTTGATGTTTTAATGTCTTACGGTAAAGTAGTTAGCCTCCCACTGTTGTTAGGTTGTTACTGTTGTTAGGTCGTTACTGTTGTTAGGTCGTTACTGTTGTTAGGTAGTTACTGTTGTTAGGTTGTTACTGTTGTTAGGCGTTACTGTGTTACTGTAGGTCGTTACTGTTGTTAGGTCGTTACTGTTGTTAGGTCGTTACTGTTGTTAGGGTTACTGTTGTTAGGTCGTTACTGTTGTTAGGTCGTTACTGTTGTTAGGGTTGTTACTGTTGTTAGGGTTGTTAGTCGTTACTGTTGTGTGGTCGTTACTGTTGTTAGGTCGTTACTGTTGTTAGGTCGTTACTGTTGTTAGGGTTATTACTGTTGTTAGGTCGTTACTGTTGTTAGGTTGTTACTGTTGTTAGGGTTGTTAGTCGTTACTGTTGTGTTGTCGTTACTGTTGTTAGGTCGTTACTGTTGTTAGGGTCGTTACTGTTGTTAGGTCGTTACTGTTGTTAGGTCGTTACTGTTGTTAGGTCGTTACTGTTGTTAGGGTTGTTACTGTTGTTAGGTCGTTACTGTTGTTAGGGTTGTTACTGTTGTTAGGTCGTTACTGTTGTTAGGTCGTTACTGTTGTTAGGTCGTTACTGTTGTTAGGGTCGTTACTGTTGTTAGGTTGTTACTGTTGTTAGGGTTGTTAGTCGTTACTGTTGTGTGGTCGTTACTGTTGTTAGGTCGTTACTGTTGTTAGGTCGTTACTGTTGTTAGGTCGTTACTGTTGTTAGGTTGTTACTGTTGTTAGGGTTGTTAGTCGTTACTGTTGTGTGGTCGTTACTGTTGTTAGGTCGTTACTGTTGTTAGGGTCGTTACTGTTGTTAGGGTTGTTAAGTTAAGTTTTATAATGGTTGGGAGAACCTTTCTGTTTATTTTAGCATCATGTTGGCTAAAATGTTGGTGACATTCTTCTGTATACAAACATACCATGCAATGTCAAGGTCAGCAAGAATGATCAAGGTCATTACTTTTCTTTGTACAATATATTAATAAACCAATTATTGTGACAGACCTAGTTGTCATCCCGTTCTAAAATACTGACCTACAGGGAAACAACAGTGTTGCCACCATCAGTTAGACTTGAAATGTAATCTAGACAGAAACACATGTCTCTAAAAATCAAAGCTGTTCTGAAGGCAAAAGGTAGCCCTCCCCGTATTGTTCCTCCTCTGTGACCAGAGCCTCTGAGTTCAAGTGATTCATGTATAAAAAACACAGTCAGACAGACAGTGTCTGGTCTCTAAACACTGTGAGTCCTGACCCACAAACAGTCTGTTGGCTGCTGAAGGAACGGCACCAAGCTGTTGCTGCCTCATGTTTGAGGAAAATCTGCAACTTCTCAAGAGCTCATGCAGAGCACAGTGAAGAAGTGAGAAACTGCAAGAGCAGATTCTCAGTCAATACAGAAGAAAACTGTTCAGAAGACATGGAAGCCACATTACACTAAGTTCCATTTACACTCACATGTGCTTGATGGTCTTTCTCAATGTCTGACTTACATGTTTTATTGGTCAGTGTTGTGAGTTTGAAGCTTAAGATATGAATAAAAAGATAAAAAATGTTCTCCACTCTGTTATTGGAAATTCCATTTCCCTTTAAAGAGTCAATGCCGGCCTATTCTGTTTTTTGCATTGTCTACAGTTAATCTAGGCATAAATGCCACATAAATAATCCTATCAACAGGATATCAAAGTCTGTCACTCAGCGTCCTAGGCTGCATTAGTTTAGTCATGGTGTTTCTCAATGAGCAGAGCGGCTCCCTGTAGTGAACACTTCATTTAACCAAAACTGAGAGCAGCTGGCTGTTAAAACTCTTTCACAGTACACACACAAACACACTCTTGATCTTCCTCTCTCCCCTGTGTTTATGGTTCTCTCTGGCTCTGATTTCATTTTCTCTCTCTTAGTCCACCACATAATTATACTTTTTAGTTTGTCTTCATTTAATTTAAACTGTCAAATGATGTGCTAGGCAGGTGCACTGTAATGAAGCAAAACATAATTACACATGCTGAATATAAGTGTACTTTTGTTTGAATTTCGGTAACATTTTTGTTAAATTAGCATTTTTTCCAGGTTGCAGACTCAGAAACCTGACCTGGTCTATATGCAGTTGAATGTATTGTAATCCAAACAATAGGAAGAACACTTTCCATGAAAAACTCATAATTGACAATTTTGCAGAAAGTGGCAAATAAAACACGTCATTTGTTTATCAGAGTTAGCAATAGTTTAAATGTATAATGTACAACCTGATTTTTGGGCTCAAAATCAGGTTGTGACTAACAAACCAGGGTTGAAATATATATTATATTTATAAAAAAAACATAGGTACTTGATTGTGAAAGAAAAATGTGAGAGTATTAGTTTATCAGATTATTTTGTCAAACCACAGACAGATTTTTACGACACATACAGTATACAGTATATTTTCTATATAGGAGTATAGATATACACTGTTGTTTTTATAGTTTTTTGTTCCATGTTCAGGCAGCTTTTAAACAGCTTCTGTATTGGATAGATGTATCTGTCAAACGGTTACCTTTTTTAAGTGACCAATGAAGGTGAGTTGGAGCTTTAAGTTCAGTCCGTATTATTATGCCTATAACTATTTTGACTTCTATCCCTTTATGGCACATTAACAGCACCTTGTCACTCCATCTCCAACTTGTCCTTTATCAAACAGTGATCTTACAATATTTTACTAATCTATTTTAGGATTTGTGACTCTGAATTTAAGTGTGTGCTGAAGGCCTGTGTGTGTGTTGTGTGTTTCTGCGTGACTGTGTTTGACTTTTGGGATTAACAGAGAGAAAAAGACTGAGTGCAGTCCTCTCTGCCATCAGGACGGCAGCCACCCTGTGAGAGACGCCGTAATGAGCTGTTATCTTGTACCACAGTAATTAAGTTCTCAAACGACGATGACAATCGATGGTAATCTGGACCGCTAAAATGCTAATGTTGTGTTACTCTCCCAATCCCTTCAAATCCAATTGAGTATGTGGTGCCGGGGACAGAAAGCTGGGGAGTCGTTCTCTCTGCCGAACATCCCAAGTGTTGCTAAAGGTAATCATCATCGCTGATGAGCTCTGCAGCCAAAAACAGAGGGTATTATTAAGGGAGCTATTGCAAAGGTACACTTTGATGAATACAGATAGTGTTTGGAGACAAACACGGTAAGTAAAATCTGAAGGGTTTATTTTAGAGAAGTATTAGTCATCAGCCTCCACTTCTGGGAGACAAGTTCAGCTACAGCACCATCCTCTGCAGCTTCAGTGGAGCAGCTGTTGATGGATGCCTTGCTCAAGGACACCCAAGGATGATTGGGTCCCCTCCACACACACACACTCACACACAGATTATCCACTTCTGTGGCTCATTAAGCTGTGACTAAATGAATGGATTGTTTTTTGTTTTTCTCCCACTCAAACACAACCACGCAGAACAAAAGGTCTTAAGAGCGCATGGACTTCATATCACTATGCAACACGAGCAATAAACTAATAAGCAATCCTACTAGTTTTAGGGCTGGGTAAGCTGCCGCAAGAAAATAGATAATATTGGAAATTAAAACATGGAAGAAGAAAAAAAGCTTCCGACCTGTTTGCTCTTTAAAAAATCACAGCATGGATTGAGACTTGTTTTCACGCTGACTGTGGAGCAATTTGACAGCTTGGTGACACTGGTGTGATGTTAACTTTAACTTCAGCCACATTAACCTGGAATGCAGAATACATCGTTTGGTCACATCATGCTTTTCCCCAAATGTTTATAAACAAACAATCAAAAAACGACGCGCAGCATTTCCCCCACGTTTCCTAGTGTTTGAAATTGAAAAGTGGGAAATGCCATTGGATTTTCAGTCTGCAGCCGAAGGGGAAAGCCTTGAATACTCATCTTTAAATCAAACAATGAGTTGACTGGCCTGTATGTTGATCTGAAGTTAATTTGAGGCTGCACACTTTGGTTTTATTGTTTTCCATCAACAGCTCCTAGTTTCTTCTCTTGAACATGTTGTATGGTTTGTGTGTTGCAGTTCTGGATGTCTGCTGTGGCCACCGCCATGCCCATTCCATCTGGGGCGTTCATGCCTGTCTTCATACTGGGTGAGAATGTACACCAATAGCCTTTACATGAAGCAAGGTTTGTGTGGGGGGTTATTAAATGATAATACATTTCGGTATCAATCATTTGATAGCTTTCATTTGCACGTTTTTGCTCATTAGTAGCCAGTTAACGGCATTTTTCAATTGATTGAGCCGCCTGCAAATCAGTTATATTTCAAAATACTGTTTTTATGGAATCACGGTCGTTGATGTATTATCTTTCCCCTGAGATATTAGGCTCTTATTATTCAGATCAACATTTTAGGAATCTGTTTATTTGCAGTTCATCTGTTGTTTTTGTAGAGACCTTTACACATGCTTCACTTTAAATGATTCATCATTACAAGCTGCAAACAACTTGAAATGGATCAATTCAGCTCCAGATAGGCAGTGTCATGTTTTGTGTGTGCTATTCATCACGCAAAACAACAGCAACAGTTTCCAAACATGCAAATGAGACCATTACATCGGCTTCATGAAAAATGAACGAGCATGATAGTTTCTTAACAGACAAGTCTCTCTGACTAATGATGTTTGGGCCATTATCATGTTGGAAAGATTTCTTTAATCAGCCTGTTCACCATCTGCTCCCACAACAAACACTGATGACTTGAGGTCTGTTTGGAAAGAGATGAACGGAGGCTGACAATCTTAATTATTTGTTTCCACATGTAACAGATTACCTTGCTATATTACATATATTTAATTTAAAACGCCACTTCAAGGTCATAGGCCCAAATCCAAACTGACCCCTACCCCCCCCCTTATAAATAATACAAAATGAAACTAAAGTGGCAATTCTTATTTTTTGATAATCTCTTGTTGTTTTTAAATCTTATTTTACGAGCTGTTTGGTTTTTGTAACGTCTCTGTAAATATACAAAACTTTACAATCAGATGCACAACTGTACTGTTTTCTAGACACGGTTATACATAATAAATAAATCATCAATTATTAACATCAGTATGAATTTAAGCATAACATTGTTGTGTGTGTTTTGTGTGGTTTAGCCTACTATTGAATTGTTTGATGTTGAAAGTACATGAACTTTGATCTGTTTGAAAGGTTACCTTCTTCACTTTTCTCTGGTCTTGTAGGGGCTGCATTCGGCAGGCTGGTGGGAGAGATCATGGCCACGCTGTTTCCTCATGGGATTGTGTTCGATGGCATCCTTTACCGCATCATCCCAGGAGGGTACGCAGTCATTGGTTAGTCTCCCTTTCCACCTCCTAGCAATTCACTTATTTAAAAAAAGCATGAATCAAAGCTGTCTGCCTCGTCTATTGCAAAAATTGATAAAAAGCCAATCTTCAAATGATGAAACAAACACTCGTTTGATACTCCTGAGTGCACACAAAAACATTAAACAAATACAGATATGTTATTGAATACTCCTCCAACAGTTATTTGTTATGAAATGTAATCTCATAAATTCAGAAGGACAGAATTACACTTAAACTGATGGCGTTTGGCATTTCTATAGGTTGTATAGATACGTGTGCATGATTTGATATATACAGTAATTATGCACTGGAAGCAGTGGAGACGCTGCCCACAGGTGATTGACAGCCGTAAGACGAACCACGAAATAAATGGATTTTTTTGTTGTAAACAGTCCCAACTGTTTGTGCATACATGTGCTAACCCAGCTTGATTGCACTTTGCTTACTATCATTTCTTAAAAGGGTAGAATATTGCGTAACATCTGAGTTATCCTGTGCATCCCCCGCCCGCCCCCCCCCCCCCCGTCATGACTCCACTAGAGAGGGATTCCCCGATCATTTCTGAAAGTTTCTCATCAACGGGGGGGGGCTGTCCCCGGCCCGTTGCACAAACACACACATTATGTTGGTGACGATCTGACCTTCTTGCAGTTCACAGCATCTGCCTCTCCCAAACTATATTATTAACTTGGCTCAACCGCCCCAACAAGAACCAAAGTATTACACGTTATGAAATGTTTTTTTAAGCTGTTCTGTCTGCATTTCCTACTTTCTTCTTCATGCTGTCAGGCGAAAGGAATGTTAATATGTGGTCGTTTCACTGACTATTTATAGGCAAATATGGGCGTTACGCTTGTTATCAAGTTGTCCTCCCCTCCTTATCTTCCTCGTCTCCCTCCCTTTTCTTTCCACCCTTCCTCTCCCTCCTCTCCATCAGAGCATGTGGCCACTTTGTTCTGACAGTTAAATGTCACTGTGGGTTCCCTCCGCCGCCCTCACCTCAGCCGCCGACCCAGAAAGGTTGCCTTCCTTCAATCTCCCTCTCTTCCCACTCAGTCCTTTGTTTCATCCTTTTGTATGTTCTCCTACTCGCTCTTCAGTATTCTTCTCTTGAACTTTGTTTCCTTCCCCTCTCAAACCTTCTTATTTGCTTCCCTTTCATTGCTTCCTCACTGCCTTTCCACCTAATTTCTCTGTACTCCCTCTCCTTTCTATCCATCCTTCATTCTACCCACTCCCTCACCCCATCCCATATCTCTGACAGGAGCGGCAGCTTTGACCGGGGCTGTGACTCACACGGTGTCCACGGCGGTGATCTGCTTTGAGCTGACAGGTCAGATCTCCCACATCCTGCCCATGATGGTGGCAGTAATCCTGGCCAACATGGTGGCCCAGGGCCTGCAGCCCTCCCTGTACGACTCCATCATCCAGGTCAAGAAGCTGCCGTACCTGCCGGAGCTCGGCTTTGGACACATCAGGTGCGTGAGGAGTTCAGATTAAAAAAGGGTTGTTTAAAATGTGTGCTATGTCAAGAAGTAAGGATTTGTTCCCACTTACAATTTCATATCAAACGACACCTGTCCTTCCAAGTTTACGGTAAAAGTCCATTTGCTTGTGCACTGCTTGTGTGTTTACAAGTTGTTTGAGTGGACAACCACCATCTGTGTGTCTGTCCTACAGCCAGTACAACATCTTTGTAGAAGACATCATGGTGAGAAGGGTGAAGTTTATTTCGTCTCAGTCCTCGTACAGAGAAGTCAAACATCTGCTGGACTCCTCCTCAATCAATTCAATCCCACTGGTCGACTCAAAAGGTAAAAGTTCATTGTAAACAGAACTACCATAATACAAAATGAATGTATTTTGTTACATCTAATATGCGCTGTACAGTAAATATCATCTAAATCTAAACACTAATCTACAGAACCAAATCTTTAACTTAGTTTACCTTACTTCATGTTTTTAAAGAATATTTTTGAGCATGGCAGTTTTGCCACTGTTGAATTTAGTGTGGTTATAATTATTCCTCTTCCTGCTTCTAGACTCTATGATCCTATTGGGCAGCATTGACAGGTTGGAGCTCCTCGCTCTCTGTGATTGGTGGTTATCGCCAGAGAGAAGACTCCTGATGCAGGTAAGGTAAACATTAACATAATAATGCTTAGTCAAATGAATCTTCTACTTTGTTGCTTCTGTGCTTTGTCTCAGGCTACATTTGAGTATGAACTATTCACATCTTAAACCGCACTGTAACTTTTATCCATGTATTTTTTCTTTTATTGTTTCTTTTATTATCTTTTCTTTTTAATGACTGATTTTAAATGCCATTTTCTGAATGTCTTTCATTTGTTGTAAAGCACTTTGAATTGCCTTGTGTTGAAAGGTGCTATATAAATAAACGTGCCTTGCCTTATGCAGACAACTATCCAGATATAAAAGTAATTGATAATGCAATGATCAGCTAAACTTTGTACCTACTTATCAATTATCAAACATTTCTATGATGGTTATATGACAAAAAAGAACTTCAAAAATCCTTAATAGGATCTTAACCTACCCTTAGACCTGTCATTTGGATAAAGGAAACATCTATAAAAGGAAACCCTATTTAGAGTAATTTCATATGATTGTATTGTAAATCGTTTTTCAAATGTCCATCATGTGGCTCCTTCGATGTGGTGATAGACCATAGGAGCATCATTTAGTGTAAGCAACTGTATTGTGCTGGCTGAAAAGCCTTTCTAACATGAGGAGGAAATGTGCATACTGCACGGTGTTTCATCGAAGAATCCCAAATGGGGTAAACATAAAACTGGAAATAAATCAGGGTGTTAAACAGAGTAATAGTTTTGTATTCACACTGCTGATGCAGTCTGTATTGATCTGTTTTCCTGGGTGTGTGTTCAGGGTCAGAGCCTACAGGAGCAGAACCAGTCCCAGGAGCACAGCTGGGAGTCCTTCGCCTATGTAGATGAGGAGGAGGAGGAGGAGGAAGAGGAGGACGGAGAGAAGGTGGGGCTCTGATGTGCTACAATCTTTTTTAAGCCATAAGTTTGGTTTTAGTACACACCATTTTTTTGTATTTTACTCATTGATAAATAAAACACTATTATTAACTTTTTACCATGTATTTTGAAAGGACATTTATTAAAAATGGCTACTTTGTAACATTTACTTGTGGTGTGCAGGGCAGCCCAGTGCAGGAGGAGAGGAACGGCCCCCTGCCCCCCCCCAAGCCTCAGGAGCCGTCCTCCAACCACACTGCTCCTGTCCCTGGTGAGCTGAGAGGACTTCAGATTCCTGAGTACATTTCTAGTTGATATCTCAGTGATATACTAGCTAGTTATTCTTTATGTCTGCACAAGATATTTCTGGATAGATTTGTTATAATGTTATTACCGTTTGGACAACTTTCTGTATGTTAGCAGAGAATAAAGAGCTTACTAGGTCACAGTGGCGAACCGTGTCTATCACAACTGGACCTTCTGTAGACACACACACACTCCCCGCCGCCGCCCGTTAAGATCTTAACTGGTAAAAAATAGGGCTGGCAGATATATGTTTATTATATCTATATTCTCATATAAGGATATAGTGGGATTTTGGATATTGTTTTATGGCACAAGTGTTGTTTTTACCTGGTTAGTTATGGACGGAAGTGATGTAATTCTCTCTAGCCCTTGCTACTGACCCCAGACCTGAAGTGGCCTGGGAGGTACGGACCTAACGGCCACTCATGTCATAGCTGATTGCAATTAACAAGTAGAATTAGATGCCAAAACAAAACATTTGATTTACCTATTGTCCCCTTTTTCTAGTCCTGCAGCATATAATCCATGATCCCTGCCAAGAAAAAAGTGGCAAAATTCATCTTTGCAATTTTGTTGATCTATACCTATGATCTATACCCACTGTAGCTTTGACAGTTGGCCTATTTGACCCATAATAACAATAACTTTCTGCCACCACTGCTAATCTTAGCATTGCTAGGTTGCTATTAACTGTGCTCCTTGAGTTTGTTCACTGCTCTCTGAATACACTCACACTCAAACACACACACAACACTTCCGACAGGATCAGTGCTGCTGTCTGATCACAGCCTGGTCTGCATGGATCCACTCGGGTATTACACATCAATGTGTATCGTTAAACGGGTACGGGACCTGACACAGACCCATTTAACTGCATATACCATGGATCTGAACAAGAGAGAGGCAAGGATCATTGGTCTCAGGGTTTGGTTGGACCCATTTGTTCGTTGGAGAACAAACACGTTTTCTGCTCTCTCTTCCTTTGCTCCATTACAGCCGTCTGACATGAAGTCAATGCTGTGCAATGAAAGCCTTATGGGGCTTGTCATAGTCATATTTATTCCTTCAGACAAGTTTTGCGTACTAGGGTGATGGAATGAGCTTTATTTTTTGCTCTGTCTCTCCTACTTCTCCTCAGGAAAATAATTTGTTAACATGTGTGACTCAGCATTTACTCTGAACCCAGATGGGGTATAAAGCTCACCAGCTTCTAATATGTGTTAAGTACATCTGTGCCGAAAGTACAATGGAACATTTTGTCAGCGCTTACGGACTATGAAAGAAAAAACCATGGGAACAAATAAAGGAAAAGGAACAGTGTTATTTTATCATATCTGTAGCCATGTAATACATGTTTTGATTTGTTCTGACCGTAACACTGTGTTAAGTGAGATTAAGATAGAGGATTTCTTTGCCTTTAAACAAAGTAAGGCCAATGATAGGTGAAAAGGTGGGAAGAGGGGGGGTGACATGCAGCAAAGGGCCACAGGTTGAATTTGGTTTGGCAGCATGTTTAATGCAAATAAACAGATGCCGTGTGTGCATCTATCTTGGTACATAAAGCTTCTCGGTAGCCGCTCACACACAACAGTCTCCAAGTCAAACGGTATCCAGGCAACAACAATAGGGAGTTGCATGGGTCGTGGCAGACTCCAATCTGCAGTTATGGATGGTTATTTCCGACTTCACCAACTGCATCCATCTCTCTCTCTCTCTCTCTCTCTCTCTATCTCTCTCTTATCTCTCTCTCTCTCTCTCTCTATCTCTCTCTCTCTCTCTCTATCTCTCTCTCTCTCTATCTCTCTCTCTCTCTCTCTCTCTCTCTCTCTCTCTCTCTCTCTCTCTCTCTCTCTCTCTCTCTCTCTCTCTCTCTCAGAGAAAGGTCCTCTCCAGTCTGTGAGGAAAACACTCAGGAACCTCTTCACCTCTAAGAGCAGACAGACAGAGGGACAGTCGCAGGTGTGTTTATGCATGTGTTATGTTGCATCTGTCCATTCCTAGGAATCATTGGGCGTGAATGTGTACAACAGCTCAGTCATTTCCAACTGGTGGTACCCAAGAGCCTTGTTAAAACAAAACAGTTGCACTCCAACTGGCAAAAATCCTTAATTAAAAAAACAATCACATTGCTAGGATCTACTGTCGGATGGTTGGGGTAAATAGCAACGGCTTGCAATGTCTCTTTGATTGCAATTGTGTTGGTATCTGAAGTGGTACTTGGTCAATTGGGTTTGGTACATAGGGATACTTTGATCAAAGTTTGGAAACCTCTTCAATAGAGTTACTTACTACTCTCTTTTTAAGCCAACTATGAATACATTTGTAGGGAAATATTGTTTTCCTTAATGAGCCATTGAAATGCAAATCGCCCCCCATCCCAAAACCACATGCTCACGCTGACACTGATAGGGATATCAATATTTATCCAATATTTTTTGCAGGCTGAATTTGTCTTTATGGGCTCTGCTTTCTATTCAGGCAGAAAGACACTTATCTGATTGACGGACCACGCATACATACACAACTGCTTCCTCATCCACAGTCAAACTCCCCAAAGTGGAGCACTACCTTCTCATATGGAAATGGGGAAGCCAGATACTGGAGGTGGAGTTATTATTCAGCTTGGCGGTGAGCCTGGCTCACGGGGGAAGCAATACATGTCATCTATTTACACAAGCAGGAATAAAAAACACATTATAAATAAGCATATACGTGTAAGCTTGCAAGATTAGAATTAGATTTCTGTGCCTTGTGTATTATTATGTGTCTGATTTTCTATTATGTTTTTGGAAGCAATCCTATTCCTGCATGGGAACAGTTTATACAGCAGCTCCACAGCCCTGAATATCAAACAGACACACGGTAGGAAATGAAGCCAAACCGTGGCTGAATTCTGCTGGTGAATCAGTATTGTCTACTTTCCCAGCCTCTAATGGCAGGTAACCAGCTACTGACCTTTAGAATATTATCTGGCTGGTGTAGTATTGTCAGCATCTTGTTAATTTATTAGTATAATGGCTGTGGTTGCAGTGATTAACTCAACAATTGTAATACAGCTACACAGAATGCAATTAGTGATTTGTACAGGTTAGATAAACATAACAAGGGACTTTGTAAAAATGTCAAACCTTTTAAACAATGCTTGTCTATTTGGTTGGTTGATAAAAAAGAAAGCTCCCCCTGCTTTCGGCTATAGAAACCTCACACTTATTGTGTGTTGGTGTTTAACGAACAGTAGCAGCCAATCTGCCATGACAGTGAGTAGATGAGGGACCTATTGCTCATAAAAGTAGTTTTACAGAACAAGTCACAGCAGGTGTTGGCCTGAATTTCGCGTACAGCTTACTCACAGAGCATCTGTGCTGTGGGAGTGATGACCTGAAGAAAACCTGACGAAAGCAACGTGATTACAATCAATGTGTTACTGCATTTTGTCATCATTGCTGTGAAAGAGACATTAAATCCAATTCAAGATATGTCTAGATCAAATATTGTTCTGAGTATAGGAAAAGTAGTTATTGTTTCTGCAGACGGTTAAATCACAGGTGACAGTGTTTCATACATCTAAGAGTAACTGTTGAGTAAACAAATGGTATAACTGAGCTGAAGTTATAGAAAGACATTGTACTTTGAGTTACTTTCCCTTTGCTCCCCTAATGTAAGGTTCAGGTTTTTCATTTTAAAGATGAAATCTAGCCAGGTCCACATTTACAGAAGTCTGTAAAATTGTTCACACAACATTTCATCTTATACTCTGTTTCTTCCTTGTATTGTCCCCAGGAGCCCTGTCCTCCTCCCCTGTCAGACCCAATGACACCAGACGAGGTATGGTGATGATGGAGGGCCGGGTGATTTGCATGTTTTTACACAAATGTCTGATAATTGATTGCAGAGTGGTGATCAAATACTCACACACCCTCGGTCCTCTGTACAGGTGTCAAAATGTCTAAGGTGGAGCAACTTCCTTTTTGCCTAAAAAAATGGTTCACATCAAAATTCCAGTTGTCTCGCTTGTCCCAGGTTGGCAGCAGAAAGCTCAAAGACCGGAACCATGGCAATAAAAAAACAATCCAGATAACATTATCTACTGGACGCACTGGCACATGATTGGCGCATGGTGTTAAATAATCAACCCGCATGCTGATGAAAAGTTGAATACCCTAGTTTTTGCATTTATGTAGATTTATGTTGTGACTCTTAGCTGAATAGCTGAATCTTAGCTATTGTGCTGAATCAGAAAAACATTTTTTTCCTTTATCTGTCTGCAATGTGAACTGACATTTAAAATCTATTTGCAACGTAACAAAAAAAAAACTTGATGCTGCTTTAAGCACATTCGTCTTTAGTTTTTCTCTTTATTGTTACGCCCAGACCTCGGGGAACCTAGGCGCAGCATAAAATGCACTCTCCCCACTTTTCCCACTCCCAAGAACACGGACGCCAAAACAGAGAAAGCGTTTGGTAAATGTATTTACCCAAAATTATTACACACCGGAGTAGCAAAACCACAAAAAAACAAAGAAAGCTTTTAACACAAAATCTTACCTATCAAATGAGGAAAATAAACGTACAAAAATCTTACCTACTCTAATGCATAAAACAGGAGAAAAAGAATTATCCAGAAGGAAAAAAAAGAAAGGGTTTTGCACTCCTAAGCAAAATAAAGCGTGTCTAACAAAGACAGGTTTAGTAGCTTTTCTACACAGTCTCACAACACGAGAGAAAGGATCGACATACGGTATAAATAAGCAATCAGCGTAACAGGACAGACATTGCAGCTCAGATGTGTGTTGGGAGAAGTCTAGTCGGAGAGAGACCGAGGAACTGCACGGCTGCAGTTAAATATCCTCTTTTCTTCAGGTGGACCAATCAGCAGGTTGAAGGTAGCTAATCAGCTTTACGGGCACCACCTGTTGCTCACACACACACAGACACATGAGGGAAAAAATGTCCACACACATGACCTAACGACCCAGGGTTGTAACACCCCCCCAACTAAAAATCAAACATTTCCCCCAAAGAAATGTTAGATTCACAGGGACCTGGACAGAGCATCAGCCATAACATTATCAACCCCCTTCTTGTAGCAAATGTGGACGTTAAAATCCTGTAGCAAAAGGGACCAACGCATAAGGCGGTGGTTGCTGTTCTGCATCCGAGATAGAAACACGAGAGGATTGTGATCAGAGAAAATCACAGTTGCTGCTTTAAGCACATTCGTCTTTAGTTTTTCTCCATGCCAACTGAAACCAAGCAACTAAACTAAAAGTACAGTTCTAAATGAACACTCTGTGGTTAACTCATTATTAATTCACTGTTGGCAAATCCATTTCAATCTATTCACATGTAGGTCACAGGTTTTAGAGATGTGTCACATTTGAGGACACGACTCAGAATTGGGACAATTTTTAACTGCACTGTGAACGCAGCCAGAATCTTAAATGAGACATCTGTGTTCATTGGAGAGCACAACACCATTACTGCGTCCTCCGAGTCCTGCTCTGTCTGCTGCTCTCCGTTTACCCCTCCTGGCTCTTTCCCAAAAGGCTCCCATAGCTTCAGCCTGTACATTCTACAGGACTGCTGCCCTGTCACATCAGGCACAGGCTGCTAGGTAATCCATAGAGAGGCTAAGGGCTGTCAGACATCCTAAATCTCAGAGGGGAGACCGGTGACATGCAAGGACAGAACACCAGGTTTCAAGGTCATTCACAGCTGTTTACCTCCCCTCTACACCTTCACTTTTACATCAACAGTGGACATGGATATGACCCGTGGTGGAAAGTAACTGAGTACACACTTGTTATGATTAATTGCTTTATGCTTCTTCCTCACCACGTTTTAGAAGCATTTATTCTACTTTTTACTATTTATTTAACCAGCTACTTTTAACATAATAAACACTTAACTTTCTTATGTATTCAATGATGCAGTACTGTACTACCAATATACCCAGTATTGGCTATTACCCATCATTCACACACATCCTGATATTCCCCTCTGACTGTAATAAAACATTTGAGTATAAGTTGAGGGGTTTTTGCCATCATGAGAGCAGCTCTGAACTGAAGCCACGAAGCTCCGCCTCTGTTGACCTGCTTCTTGTTTCTGCTGCAGATCACGGCGTGGGAAGAGGTGGAGATGGACAAGCCGATGGAAATCGATGAGATACGAGTAGACCCCTCCCCTTTCCAGCTGGTCGAGAGAACATCATTACACAAGGTTGGTGAAAAAAAAGATCAAAACGAACAGGTGTCACAAAGATGATTAGAAATCCCAAGTTTGACAAATGAAATAAACCAAAACATAACTTCCTTGGTGGAGATAATTATATGAGTATAAACATGATTTAATAAAATGCACATAGATTAATTAGTAAATCTGTCATAAAGAATATTTCTGTCTTTACTCCTAGATATTTAACCTATTCTTTGTGTTGACATTTACGACCAACCCTGCTTCTAATCTCCCGTAAGGAATGTGATAATGCAGTCGTATGTTGATACTACCAGGTTTTATGGCCTGACCTAGCGGGCACAGGGGGGGTTTTACGACTGTGAGAACGCTGGCTTCTAAGCACCACAGATGTGAGAGACATCTCCTGTGTCTCCAGGTGTTTACGCCCATCCCCAATATGTGGATTTGACTCTCTGTAAACTAGTTAAAGGGTCTACCCAGATGCGAGGCTGATCAGATTTGACATGGCAACCCACTCGTGCAGTCAGAACCTTTGACTGTGTGACTTGTGATGTGAATTTCTCCGGCCGATACTTGTATTAAAGATCCGTGTTTGACATCAGAACTCCTGCTCGTCCCGTGTCTCTCTGAGTCCTGACTCTCCATTGCTGCAGAAGTTTCCCTTACAATAAGCAATTCACCAACAAAGGAAAATGTCCTTTTCTATTTTGTTCATATTGATTTAAAGGTGATTTGAAGGTTGCTTTCCATTGTATCACTTTAATGAATTTGCTGCTGAAATTAAGATTGATTAATGTTTTAGTGTATGAAATGCTCGCTGACTTAAATCTTCCCTTGTGCACACCAAGCCTCTCTTTCATCAGCTCATGTTTTTGGGACCCGCTCGTCTGTTGTAGTTGCTATGTAATAAGTTATTGGATGGATAGTCCAGCTGCATTTTATGTACATTTGTCAAGAGTTATTTTTCTGTCACAGGTATTATATAATCAAAGTGTATATATAGAGTGCATGGAGTTCTGCTCCTCAGGCAGCAACAAGTCTTTTGATGCTCCCACACTCTGCTCCTCAAGTTGTTTACTTCTTACTTCTCTTTCGGCTGCGGATGTGGAAAACCTTGACTTTGAAAGGGAAGTGCTACATGAAAAACAGTAAAGACTGAACAGCTAAAAGATCAACATTTACATTTTTGAACAAAGAACCACACATTTTTACAGTAGGCAGTAGGCCCATGGGTTGTTGCATAAACATTCAACCTTTTGTAGGTGGGAGTTGTGCCTGACGATTATGGATGAAGTACATTTTCAGTGATCAACCTACATTGTGAGGAAACGTTTTTACAACCATTGTCCCTGCCAGAGGAGTGAAGGAAAGAAACAAGCACCTGTTACAGTATACTTCACAATTCATTTACTCCCTGATCAGTACAAACACAGATCCATCACCGCTCAGCAATAGTTTTGGTCACAATATTGATTATTCAGTTACTCAAATGTAAACAAAAGTATTGTTTTTCAGATGTTTATATTAGTAAACTAAATACCTCTGGTTTTAGACTGTAAGTCAATAAAAGCAATTCTAAACATGTCAACCTCTGGATCCAAATAGCACTGTAGTTATGCTAACCAATTGTTCACAAATGTTCTTAGATAGTTTGGCATTTACGAGAAATTCCTGTCAGCATTTTGATCATATTTTAATTTTCAACAAAACTGCATGACAGTTCTTTAGAATGGAGATGCGTTCAGAGCTATTCTGTGCCACCAGAGTTCAGATGTTAGTTATTCTATTTACCAAAGAAGCATGCTCAGTTGTGTCTGTATCTGTGCGTGCTTTCCATATTGGGGATTTTAACAATATATAATCTTGTGTTAAAAATGTAAAATATGCCGAACATTGGGAGCCTTTACATGCGCACCATTCCAATGATAGGAATTATTATTCATTTTTTCCGGCGTTATACAATCAATGTGAAATGCTAACAATGTCATAATGACACATCTGAGGGAGATGAAGGATTCGCAGAAAGCGTGAAAGAGATTGTGATATTGCTGCTAGTGCTTTTTCATCAGTGTGATTTAACTCCCCAGTTAATAACCAGAATATTATTGCACAAAAGGAGGCGTTGAAGTTTGCTGATTCACAGTGGTGAAAGATGTACTCTGATCTTGTGTTCAAGAACAAGTAGCTATACCACACTTTAGGATTTCTCTGTTACAAGTAAGTAAAGAACTTAAAAATGATACTTGAGTTGATGTACTTATGTAAGTTACATTACAATATTCCAGATGCATATAAAGAGGTCATACAAAGTGTGAGAATATGCAGAGTTCTTTGAGCACTGGGGACTTTTTCTTTCCCCGGTTGGTTCTGTGCCGTTAGCTTTCATCTTTCATGTTACTGTCTGGAGTTACAGAGAGAGTCAAAAGGCTGTCCTGGTCTCAGAGGTAAAAGTCTACATGTGTCCTAACGTGACCTTCCTCTCCACAGACCCACACCCTGTTCTCACTGCTGGGGCTCAGTCACGCCTATGTGACCAGTATTGGCAAACTGGTGGGAGTGGTAGCACTTAAAGAGGTAAGAAACTTGTATTGCTGTCTATGTTTTTTTATTCTTTCCAAACACTGTCTGATGAGTGCCGCCTTGAACCAAAAGCAAGCAGTAAAGTTGATTAAACCCCCATCGATCTCAGTCCAGAAAGCCTTCTTCCTTTGAATTCACTCTACATTTAAAAAGCTTCCTTTGACTTTGAGGAGTCCAATTGGCATTCGCTACTAATTTACTCTGAGTTTCATAAAGCTTTTTGTTAGCATAATCAATATCCTCTCTAGATCACTCAGGGTTTCTTTGATCTACTCCACTCCTTCTGTCTTTCCCCATTTTTGTCTCCGTCTCACTCCTCTGTTCCTAAACCGTATCTTATTTTACTTTTCTTCTTCACTTTAGAAATCCTTTCATCCTTTAACTTACCTATTCCTCCCTCTGACTAAAAACTGTTGCTGTCTTTATACTGCTTTCCTAAAATGTCACCACTTCCCTCCATCTTGTTCCTCCACCGTTTCCCTCCCTCCTCCGCCCCTCCAGCTCCAGAAGGCCATCGAGGGCTCCACCCGCTCTGGCGTCCGGCTCCGTCCTCCGCTCGCAAGCTTCCGCAAACACAGCTCTGCCCCTAAACCTCCACCTTCTTCTTCCACTGCTCCCTCCTCTCCGACCTCCACCTCCTGTCCCTTAGCTCTCCCTGTTCCCCAGCCTCCACCCCTGTCCCCCCCTCACCATCACATCCACGAGGCTGAGACGGAGGTGTGGATCGAGGGCGTGACCTTGGAGGTGGAGGAGAGCAGCAGCTACACCACGGGGAGCGGCCCCGGGGCCTGCAGCTCTCCCAGAACCAGTTGCAGCGACAACAGCAACGTCAGCCTTCCTCCATCCACCCCTCCTCCCCCGGTCCCTCCCCCTTCCACTCCTCCTCCTTCTCCCTCTTCCACCTCCATCCCTCCCTCCACCCTGACACCCTTACAGAGACTGCTTGAGGGGGATGAAGACAGTGATGATGAGCCAATGGTGTAGAGTAAAAAAGAGTGATGGTCATGTTTTTTTTATAATGGAAAACTCTTGTAATGGTCTGAGTTTTGTTTCAGTTTCTTAACTTGTTGCTCTGGTCTTTGGACACTCATTTACCTCTTTTTGTAAGTTCATCCCTCCCTACCAAAAACTTCTCCCACCACAACCTCCTTCACCTACTCTCGATAAGCTCTGTTTGTGTGTTTCTTTAATACTTAACCTGCCTCACTTATTCTTTCTCTCTCAATGTTTTTCATTTCTCAAGATTCAACCAATTTGAGTTTATATTCTCTGGACTGAAGTTGATTGTTTTTTCTTATCCAAACAAAGCCCAGAATTCAATATTCTGCAGGTCTCCCTTGAAAAAGAGATCATTGATCTCAATGGGATTTTACCTGGATAAATAAAGGTTTTGAATTGAATTGAATATTACATTTTTCGAATTACATTTTTAAATCGTGATAAAGTCACTCTACAGAGGAATACATGTAGAATACACTTCTATATGTTGCATTTTGATGGATTAGACACCTCTTTTATGCCACAGTGCTCTCCAGGTAAAACACATGCTGCATCTTTTAGTTTTTATAAACACAATATACTCTTTAAACGGTCATCCAAACAAGAATACTAGCTCTCTCGTAACCTGTGTCTTTAAAACGTTTTTTATCAGGAGCTATTGATTTTGAAACTGGCAGCAGACCATCTGTATAGCAGCAGACTTAAGGAGCTGTGCAGCCTGTGTCCAACGCCCCAAAACGACCTCCACATTGCGTGCTGACCTTGTGGCTGCGGCCTCACAGCTCACCACGGTCAGGTTGATGGACAGTGCAGCTAAAGGCGGCTAACGAAGGACAACCCGCTGTATACTGGAGGTCCTGGAGATTATTTCCCCCTCATGTTCCCTAACAAAGAAAACTTGGATTCTGATTATAATATGAATAATGTTGCAAGAAGAAATTCAAACAAATAGACAGAAGCTTTTCATTCTGAAATCCATCTTGCTAACAACAGTGACATTCATTACAGTGAATGACAGCTGACATTTTGTCTCATAACATGAACACGTTTAATGAAGATGAAGAGGTATGTTGACATAGAGATATTTACTAATTACTACATTAATTGGCCTAATGAATTCCCTCATTAGCAATACTATTAAATATAGAACTGCCAGCGTGATTATGAGAGCTGATCAGGCAACCAGAGAAATCCAATTAGCTATTTTAACATTAGTGTACCAATGAAAAGTGGTTCAACAGTTCAGGAACAAATGGAAAAACAAAACAATTAACCGAAAGAGGCTGAAAGCTGCGTGGAGGTTTAGAGATGGGGTTATATCCTGTTGAGGTCAGCATAAGTCAGTAAGTATGCACTCTTTATATTAGATGTTTATGTCTAAACAGTCACATAATGTAAGTTGAACCAAAGTCACTAACTAAACTTCCCTCCTGCCTCTTAGTAGGCTTCTGAAAGATGAAGCGTTCTTTTCTTAACTCCTTCTAAATGAAATCCTGATGATGAGTTTAACTTATTTGCTTTCTCAAACTCAGTTAAAGGTGGGGTAGGTAATTCACTTCAGATACACTTTTTGTTGTATTCCATGGAATGCTCTTAACATCCCGATAGCAATGAATACATGAAATGCTTTGACAATAAATACATACAAAAATGTCATCTGTGGAAGCCGTGGCGCTGCAAAAAGCACGACCAATCATCTGCCTCGGCCCGCGGCAGATAACTGGATGGCCTACCTGCCTGTCAGACTTCCATCTGTGCACAAACTTATCTCGTGCCCTCATTGGTCATGTGCACGTCCGTGTGTGTTGGAGGAGGGGCTCTGTGAGGAAGTCTGAAGGAAGGGGCAGATTTTTTTCGGTTGTGTACTTTCAAATTCTAGCGCACTCGAGCTGGTTTCTCTATTCTTACCTACCCTACCTTTAAGGCTCATAATCTGTCTCTAAAAAAGTAATTTGATCTGAAGTGACTACCTTGAACATTTTATTTTTGAACGTTTCTCCTTGTCTACCCTTTTTTTCATTTATCCCTCCATATCCACTTCATATCTCCTTATTATCTCCTGGATTCAAATTCTCAGGTACTGCCTTAAAAGTCTTTAAAACTTGCAGATTCAACGAAAAGCTTCTTCATGTTTTGTGTGTGTGTGTGAATTAGAATGTGTGTGTCCATTTCTTAAGAAAGCTCTGTACTGGTCTAAGTGCTGATGTCTTCTGTCTGTGGTTATTTTGAAATGTATCTCTTAGCAAAGTCAAATGCTATCTGAAATGTATAACACTGTGAAAGATGTAGCGAAATAAAGTCTTCATTATAGTTGTTGATCTTCCTTCATCCAGGGTAAAGGCTGACCTGCAGGAAAGAGCCACATTTAAACAGAGAGAAGAGTTTCTCCTATACTCACCTGGAACAAGAGCTGAACTCAGTGAAGGTAGGGCAGAAATATAGTTTTTACTTTAGAAGTCACTTGAAAAAAAGAAAAAAAATGAAATTATGTTTTGGAAAAAGCTGCTCTGATGACAAAACATATCCAAAATAATCAGCATGGCTATCTCGAACTTGGCTACAAAGCTCATTTATTTTTCTCTTTCAGTATAACCACTTAATAACTATAAATGGTAATTAATCATTTGTATCTGACACATCAAAAGAACATTTGACAGCCAGGATGACAGGATCTATGCAGCTACCTGCCGTTTCTTACCTTCATTGCCTTTTTCTCATGTTCATTAGTGAGACTAGGTGTCACTTTTTCTGGATGTGTCCTTTAAAGTCATTTTAAGCATTTATGTATTGCTTTTCTGACAGCTATTGTGAATCAAGAGGTTTTCAACATTATTACAGAGAGATATATTCTATTATCAGATTTGTGCATTGCCTCCACAGAAGTAATGAAAGTGATGAACACGAGTGACATCAGACAGCATGAGTGACAGCATTTGTTTTTATTCCCAAAAAAGCAAAGAAGTTTCACTCCAAATTCCCTCCTTTCCCATGATGCCAGGCGTCACCTTTTTGTGTTAAATCTCTCGGCCTTCAGATGTGTGCCTTGTGTGTTTGGACACTAAATGCTCTACAAGAGCAACAAGAGGACAAACAGAGGACAGATGGTTATCACAGCGCTCAGGGGCATCGTGGGCTGTGATCACTGGAGTGTACGAGGGAATCGTCCTCTCCAGCAGCTGTAGGTAGAATCTTTTAGAAGAGATGATGTAAATGCTTGATTCTGTTCTGTTTCCTTAGGCAAACACACATTTATAAAATACACTGTTCTGAGCAATTCTGTCTGACCATCTCTAGCACGCATGCAGACTTTTGACATATATTGTTATAGTCTGTCTTATTTCAAGTCTTTGCACTGGCATCCACACGCTTCTACACATTCAAATGAAGTCAGTAAAGCATGTTGCTTTTAAGGACTTCTTCTACTGTATTATGCAGCATTTCTTTATTTAGCAGTAAAAAAAAAAACCACATTGCTAGCCACCGACCACAACAGCCAAACACACACAGGAAGCCTTCAAAAAGATCAATAGGATAATAGCACTTGACCGTACAAGGGCACTTCTCTGCCTCCAGAAATGCAGTCTACACGACTCGGTTCAATGGATGAGGATTCTTTTTGTGTTTTAGTGGAATTGATGACTACAAGGAAACTGCTGCTGCTCAGTGAGAAAAACACTCTGACCTTCACACTGCAGTTAGAAAATGATACAGCTGGACAATTAGGTTAAACCCTTTCTTGCATTCCATTGTGTGTCTGTGTGTAATGTATTATATACAATACGTTTGGCTGTCAAATCTAAGGTTAGGAAAAGGGATAAAACATAGCAAGTTAAGCCTCCGCACTTATCAATGCACAAGGAAATATGCCAAAAGTTGCTATATATGTGTCTGGGTTCGCTCATATATTTTTATCTTAGAGGGACCAAAGTGTGACCTTGAGTGGGAGGGCTTTTTTAATTGGCCCTCACTTCAGATTGATGCTGATTTTATGGTTAAGGATTGGTTTGGCAGTGAAGCTCAGAATGAAGTCTAGGTTAACGCTGGTGCAATTTGTAATGCCTAGTCACATAGAGGGCGGTATTTAACCCCAAAAAAAGCCTACAAACAGCAGGGAAAAGATGTAACCTAAGGGCTGAACAGCTGATAGTTTGTTGAAATAACAATGCCATTCTGTTAACTTTAAGTGTGGTGGTGACCTTGAGTTTACATTAGCTATATGTGTGTACTTTGCCACCGCCCCAGGGCTGTATGGTCTGTGTTACTTTACATTTTGATAGTACATTTATTGGACTTAATCGGAAGTGGCAGTAAAAGGTTCAGTGCCTCACAATCGCCTCTCAAGGAACAAGTGATATTACAAGTTAGCTAGCATGCTAGTTTCAGTTGATAACTCTGGAACAAATAACATAGACATTTGGATAAACTGTTAACACAGTATCACTCTCTGATAATGTTCATTTTGTTATAGTTTAAAGCTACAATGTTGGATCATATCTTACAAATGTCACCTTTTAAGGTTTGTTAGATACAGTAAATTAGGCAATGTGTTATCTTGGTGATGGTCATCATGTCTGTGCACTTTTATGGCACATGGTGGAAAAGAACAATACCAAGAAGAATGTGTTTCCCAGAATATATATATTTAACACACAAACAAAGCTACATTCATACATACATACATACAGTCTTACATTCATACAAATACATATCAGTTTATTGGATTTTTTTCTTTTATAATAAAAAGCAATTTGATATATTATTACTTTGTATACGGTGTTATACTGTAAGGGCTAGGTCACTGTTAAAAAGCATGCACTTTCTTTTGGTTGTGTCCAGATGAAGCGTTTGCAAATAATCCAAAGTGTTTGCCACAGGTCATGCTACGTTCGGACTGCAGACCTTTTTTTTTTCCATCAGTCAGACTTTGTTTTCAACACCAATTTGGAGTTTAAGTAATTTTTAAGTCACTCTAGGTTGACTAAAACACAATTCTTCTCTAGCAGCAGTCGCCCAATCTCAAACAAATCACCACTCGGACTCAGTATCCCAACACATCTTCGTACTGAAGTAGCGACATTTGCCCGACAAACTCCCTGCTTACCAAATGGTTCTCCTTCTCCTCATCCTTATTGTCATGTACTTATTAAAGCTACCACGACACTGACTTTAGTGGCCTCCATGTTTACTTGTGAGAAAATGCTGCTTGTGGCATCTTGATTCTTGCTCTTCTGCGCATGCTGTTACCATCACCAGTTCCCACTGGGATCTGATTATTGGCCAGAATTTAAACATTTTAACAGCCAAAGATAAAATCAGATCTGAGTAATAAATCCCAAATTGAGCATTGGGGCTTACGGCCTGTCAGCACAGCGGCGTGTGTTGTCGCTTGTCGGCGGGGGGGGGCTGAAACTCGACCAACAACCATGAATCTCCCGCCCCGGACACACAAGCACGCGGTTTGATTGGCTAGAGCTTGTACTGGCATATGATTCGATTGGCTGACGCTTCCGCCGAAGCTTCAAAAGTTGAACATTGCTCAACTTTCGTCGCAAGCAAATCTACGCTTCGCTCCCACAATGCAGTTCGGCGAAATGTGACGTCACCCCATTCAAACTGAATGAGCAGAAGCGTTGAAGCTTCAACGCACGCCGCTGTGTGAATGGGCCGTTACAGTGTGAAAGTAGCTTCTCAGTATCAGATTGGACCTCATCAGAAACATCTTTACTTAGCCAATCAAACAGTGAACTCCTGCTCCTGCTGTATTTCTCTAATGTTACACGCTTCACCTGAACCAACCACTCAGAATGATTTGCAAATACTGTTTAACGTTGTAATGTGATGTCCATGTTTGTTGTATTGCACTGATACTGATTTTTAATTGGGCATTTCTTTCCACTTCAGTCCTACCTTTCTCTTCTTTTTCTTCGGAGGATTCCACATGTCCTGCAGTAACTCAGGGGGGCTTCTTGGCATTTAGTTTGTGTACATTACATCCCACGATTTCGTCTCCAAAAGTCTTGTCCTCCGACTCAAAGTGGGTAAAATACTAGGGAGGGGTTGGGATAGAATAGCTTGATCGATTATTGAAGTAGTTATCTCCTATTTTGTCCGTTTCTTTGCGGCCCTCTGATTCAGTTGGTCCAACAATAACAATGGAGCCCTCCTTTGCCTCTTACTCCTCTACTGATTGGACGATGCAGGGTGTGACCTCAAACGGTTTCCTCTCCGGGACAGATTGGGCGATCTGTGCTGGCAATCCTGGGCTGGAGCCTCTGGTGGAGGGGAGGTCCTCCTTCAGGGGTGATGGGGTCAAAGAGCACGGCTCCGGCTCCAGGATTAATGTTACCTCTTCTACCTGGAAACACAGGAAGTAAAGCATTTTGAAAACTGATTGGCTGGCTACAACTGTGCTCTGTCAGAGGTAAGTAGGGCCCTTTTTGCCCAATTGTTTTTCATTTTAAACTTATCTCGTCGACGTATCAGTTTTTAGGACTCAGCAGCAGAAACCAAAGCCCAGGGATTGGGACAGTTCCAGTTGAAAGAACTCGCCTTTGTCAGCTCCTCCTCTTCCTCCTCTTCGTGCTGCTCAGGGGTGTCTTCAGACTCGGGCTCTGGCTCCTCTCCAACCGTCTCCACTCCTCCGATCATGTCAACCATCTGTCCATTCAGCTGGCCGATGATCTCCCCCTGCAACAAGTTCAGTTTACTGATTTAATTTCCTGTCTATTTCTGTGGAAGAGGATTCAACAGGTGAATGGCCCGTTAGACCACAGACTGACATCTACCCTTTAGTTTTAGTCACAAAAAGACAGAAACAGAGACAGAAGACAGAAAAGAGGGGAATTAGAGATGCAGAATATGAGCTCCCATGTCCTGACCCCAGCTTGATTTGTTTATGCAGGACATCAGAGAGACAAGACACATACTTAGGTAAGTACAACAGACACAGATGCTGAATCCAAATGCCGAGAGTTGCAAACTTGCGGACTTTACAGCATGCTACTCCGAGGAGCAGGCAGATTTAAGGACGCCCTTTGTCAGAATTCATCAGGTCCGCTAAAGGCTGTCATGCAGGCTTTTGGCAGTGCTCCATGCAGACATTCAGCCTCTCTCCTACCTTGCCGATTTCCCTGGCAGTTTGTCCCATCATTCACTGCACTACAGATGTGTGCTAAATACGCCTGCTGATATAAACAAATCCAGATCCAAAAGACAAAAACAAATGAGTGTCACACATGATGGAAAATAACTCAAAAAGGCTATTCCTGTGCAGTATATGAACATCAGCTTAATATAACTATGATAAGTGCACTATTTTCACCTTTGAAGACACGCGCCTGACATCAAAGAAGATAAACCTCGGCTTCCTACAATAACAAGAAAGTATTAAATGCATAATAGGACATGCGGTCATTGTTACGATGATTCGTGTCTCACTCCTAAATGGAGACGCCTGTCCTGCTTGCCTTTGACGGTCTACACAGTCACACACCTCTGCGAACTACATCGGAATACATTAAAGCACCATTTAGTCCGCAAATTCTGTAATCCGACCATTTGGATTCAGCAGGGGAGTGCCTACGTGGTGTGCCTCGACCAGCGCAGCTCCCCACAGGTCAGCGAGCCGGGGGTGGGTGGGAGGGCCCAGGCTGTGGATGGTGCTGTTGGGTGTGGCTTGGAGGGAATGGGAGGCACTATGTAGCCTTTGCTCCATAGACTGTAGTCACAGATAGGAAAGGAAGGAAAGATAATTAATAAAGATTTACTGTAATATAGGCTTAATATATTTCAAAAAGGTTCATTAGTTTTTCGATCAAAACTAACGACTCAGGATCATTTTGTTTTTATTTGGAATACAAATAAAACCATCCTTTAGAGATTTCAAACACATTGAAGTCCTGTACTGTAGCTCCTTACAGTTTCAGCTTCTTCATTATGGGACAATATACACTTTCTACAATTAATTCATTTGTTTATTTGCTGCTAGTTGATTTTATTTGTATTACTGTGTTCTTGCCTCTTTTTTTAATATTCTACTCTTCCTATTTTTGTCTGAGTGGTCCCTTTGCTGTAAAATAGTAAATGCCCCCCATGGTGGTACGAATAAAGTGTTTCTAATTTATAAATGCTAAAGTGATCTACTGCATCACAACACATTTGAGCTATGGTAGATCAAACAGCCCCGTCGTGCCAAAGCAAATGACAAAGCATTGTATTTAGCAGTCTTTGCCAGAGACTTGTGAAGGACTTCCTTTTAGTCCCTAAAGGTCTCTGTCTACGTGTAAATGATAAATGATGAGTCAGGGATGCCAATGTCTAAGGCTCTTATGCTCCAAGAATTGACGGACTGATTGAAGGTTTTATTATAAATGAAATGTGATATATTAAATATCTCCTTCAGAAGGGAAACCATAATGATACACAGAGAAAGCTAACAAGCTCATTGCTTTTGTGGTCTCGGATCAGCGCACCCTTTCTAAGAAACAGTCACTGACCTTTTCAAACTATTATTTCATAACCCATGCAGTAGCTCACTATAGCATTGTTATCCATTACTGAAGAAGCTGCAAAAGCACAGTGGTGCTTCAAGCTAAAAGCTACTGTTCTGCTCACCATGTTTACCACCTTTTAATGCTACTACAGCTTAATAGCACTATTAGATGTGAGACAAGTGGGAACGCCACTAGATTTAACATCATGTAATGATTTTGCTCTTTGTACTCAGAAATCCAGTTACGTAGTTGTACGTACGTAATTCAGATTTGCCCAAACGGCTCATTTGATAGAGGCAGGCTCTAGTATCACACTGCATAAATGAACAGTGTTGGTACCACTCACCTGTTGTTGTTGGTACTGCAGGAACTGTTGCTGCTGGAACTGGTGAATGTGTTGGAGCTGTTGGAGTTGGTTCTGCTGCTGCAGGGTGTAATGATGCTGCTGAAGGTAATTGCCCACCGTCCCCTCAAACCCCTCACCAGGAGTCCCCGCCGCTCCACTGCCGCCACCTGGAACAACAAATACACACTCACGCCTTAGAGACACAGGCTACTGTTCAAAGGTTTGGAGAATAGATTCAGTACGCACCTGCAGACATGATGTATGAGCCTGCAGCGGGCGAGGCCATGCCCGAGGGCTGGCTGGTGATGGGGTCCCAGGCGTCAGAGGACGACAGGCAGTACAGGCCCTGTGACACGTAGGTGTGAGGCCAGACGTCCGCCGAGGAGTGGTGGAGCACCTGGTCTGCACGGGGGACAGAGAGGTGAGAGGAGTGAGACAAATTAGGATAAATGGAAAACAAAGGGTTGTGATTCATTACAGATTTCCACAAACAATGTGTTTGCCTTTCTTTCCTGCTCTGTCAAAGTCATAATTTAAGGATTCAAAATGTTCCCTCTTTAAGATAACACATGACACAGTTATAACATTAATCTTTGACACCTCAGCCTGTTCACAACTCAATATATTTGAGCTTTTATCTCTTAAAAAACGAAAAAACATTAGCATTAAAATGTTTTGCTCAGGATGTACTGTAATAGAGTAATAACAAAGATGCTGAATCCAACCTCAGACCCAGTGCTGTGTATTAAGACATGAGCGGCATAGCATGAACCAGCCCTCATCTTAGAGCAACTGTTACCACTTTAATGGGAAAATAGTTGCATTGTTGTTATTATAGAGTGCACACATTCAGGCTGAACTCAAACTGACTGGCTGATATTACAGCAAAAAACATCTTAATTGCTGCTTTGTGTGTGTGTGTGTGTGTGTGTTTGTGTGTGCATGCTAGATAAAGCACAAAGCCAAGCACATATGGCAGTGGTAATGAGAGGAGTGCTAAGTCCTTGTGCTAACCTACAGGGTCCCTCAGGCTTTGGCAGCGCTCTGCTTTGCTTCACACCAGCAATAACTACAGAAAGAAACATTTAATCTGTGGTATTTCTGAACAGCCAGAAATAGACTAGCTTACCTTCTCTTCTCTTCATTTTATCATTCTATTAGCAACTAAACTAAGCATATTATCGAGTGACACTTAATCTACAAATCAGAATATGAGTTTGTTTACTGAACTGTCTTTTTTTAATTCAACCAAGTTTAACGTCATCATTGCTTTTTGGTGCAGTTCATTTTGGAAAGAACTGATATGAAATTGCGTCCTCATCACACTCTAATGAGAATGTGTTCTGATATTTCAGAAGTGACTGGCTGTCATCAGAGTTTGTCATTTGGGAGTTTTTGAGCGAATGCCCAGTAGCAGTGAAAGGCGGTAATGTGCAGCTGTGTGCCCGCCCTCCATAAGTCCTTTACAGCTGCTAGGAGAGAATCACTGACTCTGCTTGTTTAAGGTTCCAATGGGGCTCACATTTTTCCAAAACTGCATCCACGCACAATTCAAAACACAATAGTTTAGTGTGTGGTCTGAAGACATATTACTGTAAGAAGTCCTATTATACTACAATCCACTGCAAAAACGCCTGTAAAGATGTTGACACTGTTTTAATGCGTTACATGAATACAAGTAAACTAATTACTATTATTCCTCCCCAATATTCAACCTCTAATTCTGGGTTAATGTTCGTTGCCTGACCATATCTTCGCAATGGTTCCACACTGTCTACAGCTATTTGCAGGAAGGTTTAAAGTGCAGTACCTCTGCTGGTGATGCTCTCCTGGTTGACCTCGCTGAGGTGAGCGACGCTGCCCTGGTTGGAGCCGGCTCCCATACTCTCCCCGTCCATCGAGTTCCAGCCAAACAGAGTCATCTCAGAGATGGCAAACTGCTGCATTATGCCTAATGAGTAAGAGTAAAATAACTGTTAGATATATTTAGCTAACTGAATCACAATTACAGAGCATACAACAAATCCCAGTCGTAGATTTGCTGAAACATATAAAGGTAAATTAGGAGTGAAAGCAATAAAATAAAAAGTGATAGTGCCAAGCAGAAAATATGATGCAGATAAATAAATGAATAGCAAATTATCCGTTTGGATGTACAAGATCGGCCACCAGTGTGATTCTTTCTTGTGATGCATCTCTCCAGGCTTCTCCATTTTGGGACACACACAAAAGTTAAACAATTCCCAAAGTTTAACTACAACAGGTGATGAATTTCAACTTTGGTTATTGTTATGTAACCTTTTTGTTACTTATTACACTGAACAAAAATATAAATGCAACACTTTTGTTTTTGCTCCCATTTTTCATGAGATGAACTCAAAGATCTAAAACATTTTCTATATACACAAAATAACCATTTCTCTCAAATATTGTTCACAAATCGGAAAAAATCTGTGATAGTGAGCACTTCGCCTTTGCCGAGATAATCCATCCCACCTCACAGGTGTGGCATAGGGAGGAGTGTGGTGCAGTGGGTTGTGAGTTGGTATTCGGATCAGGAGGTCACAGGTTCAAACCCCACTGCAGTCAGCATGTCGTTGTGTCCCTGGGCAAGACACTTCACCCCAAATTGCTCCTGTGGGGATTGCCCACAGTATTGAGTATGTAAGTCGCTTTGTCTAACAAGTAACATGTAATGTAATATCAAGATGCTGATTAGACAGCATGATTATTGCACAGGTGTGCCTTAGGCTGGCCACAATAAAAGGCCACTCTGAAATGTTCAGTTTTATCACACAGCACAATGCCACAGATGTCGCAAGTTTTGAGGGAGCGTGCAATTGGCATGCTGACAGCAGGAATGTCCACCAGAGCTGTTGCCCGTGAATTGAATGTTCATTTCTCTACCATAAGCCGTCTCCAAAGGCGTTTCAGAGAATTTGGCAGTACATCCAACCGGCCTCACAACCGCAGACCACGTGTAACCACACCAGCCCAGGACCTCCACATCCAGCATGTTCACCTCCAAGATCGTCTGAGACCAGCCACTCGGACAGCTGCTGCTACAATCGGTTTGCATAACCAAAGAATTTCTGCACAAACTGTCAGAAACCGTCTCAGGGAAGCTCATCTGCATGCTCGTCGTCCTCATCGGGGTCTCGACCTGACTCCGGTTCGTCGTCGTAACCGACTTGAGCGGGCAAATGCTCACATTCGATGGCGTCTGGCACGTTGGAGAGGTGTTCTCTTCACGGATGAATCCCGGTTTTCACTGTTCAGGGCAGATGGCAGACAGCGTGTGTGGCCTCGTGTGGGTGAGCGGTTTTCTGATGTCAATGTTGTGAATCGAGTGGCCCATGGTGGTGGTGGGGTTATGGTATGGGCAGGCGTATGTTATGGACGACGAACACAGGTGCATTTTATTGATAGCATTGTGAATGCACAGAGATACCGTGACGAGATCCTGAGGCCCATTGTTGTGCCATTCATCCACGACCATCACCTCATGTTGCAGCATGATAATGCACGGCCCCATGTTGCAAGGATCTGTACACAATTCCTGGAGGCTGAAAACATCCCAGTTCTTACATGGCGAGCATACTCACCGGACATGTCACCCATTGAGCATGTTTGGGATGCTCTGGATCGGCGTATACGACAGCGTGTTCCAGTTCCTGCCAATATCCAGCAACTTCGCACAGCCATTGAAGAGGAGTGGACCAACATTCCACAGGCCACAATCAACAACCTGATCAACTATGCGAAGGAGATGTGTTGCACTGCGTGAGGCAAATGGTGGTCACACCAGATACTGACTGGTTTTCAGACCCCCCAATAAAGCAAAACTGCACGTTTCAGAGTGGCCTTTTATTGTGGCCAGCCTAAGGCACACCTGTGCAATAATCATGCTGTCTAATCAGCATCTTGATATGCCACACCTGTGAGGTGGGATGGATTATCTCGGCAAAGGAGAAGTGCTCACTATCACAGATTTTTTCAGATTTGTGAACAATATTTGAGATAAATGGTTATTTTGTGTATATAGAAAATGTTTTAGATCTTTGAGTTCATCTCATGAAAAATGGGAGCAAAAACAAAAGTGTTTTTGACAATTGAATTGTCCAAGACGTTTTTTTTACCTTGCAGATACCTGGTCTATATCATAATAAGATAGAAAGCCACTGTCATTGTGTGGAATATAACATAATTAAGAGCGCTTCCCTCATCAGGGCAGTTCAAAGATAATAAAGCACAAAAAGTGGGTCCACCTTTGGGGGTGGACACGTTTGCACACGGCCAAGATAGCTGCTCTACGCCTTTCCACCACTGCGTCTCATTCTCCCTCTCCTGGAGAGGGTGAGGCGAGAACGATAGTCAGTCATCCTAGTGGCCCTAGGTCGCCGCTTGGCGCTGTGGTACACAGAGGTGACACAGATGATGGTGGGCCAGCCCTGGACGGTTCTTCAGGTCTGGGGGGCATTGTCTCAGGAAGCAGGTAGGGGCGTTACCCACTCTGGGCCAACCTCTCCAGGCTTGGCTCCTGGGAGGGACTGGCTGAGACGAGAGGGACTGTCTGACAAAGTTATTCAAACTATCCAGGCAGCAAGAGCAGGATCCACCACAGCCTGTTACAGGACGAAGTGGTTGGGATTCCAGCGGTGCTGTGAAGAAAGGAGTCTAGAGCCTAGCATGTACGTTGGGCTCTATTCTGTCCTATTTACAGATACTAGTGGACAGGGGGCTTGCTCATTCCACAATTAAAGTGTATGCAGCAGCCATTTCGTCCTGCCATGAGAGATTTGACGGCAAGTCAGCCTTCAGTCAGCCGCTTATGGCGCGTTTTTTGCAGGGGGTCAGGAGACAGCGCCCAGTGGTGCATGCCTCCTCCCCGCAATGGGATCTGCCGTTGGTGCTCGAGGCTCTGGTCACAGAACCATTTGAGCCTCTGGAGCTCTCCTCCCTGAAGGCACTATCATTGAAAACAGCTTTGCTGCTTGCCCTGACTTCGGCCAGGGGAGTGTCCGAGCTGGCCGCTCTGTCAGTGCACCCGAGTTGCCTTTTGATCCGGCGTGACCGTAGCGGGGCGACACTCAGACCGAACCCCTCCTTTGTTCCCAAGAACCTAAGGAGTTTGTTCAGGTCGAGGGCTATACAGTTAAACGGCTTTATTCTTCCACCCCATATTGGGGACAGGGAGGCTAATTTGCACCTCCCCTGCCCGGTGCGTGCGCTGGCATGTTATGTAGGGCGCACGACTTCCATTAGGCGCACTGAACAGCTATTTGTGTGCTTTTGGGATGGTGTGGCCGGTAAAGCTCTGTCCAAGAAACGCCTGACAGGATGGCTCTGCGAGTGCATTTCACATGCCTATGGACAGGCGGGGAGAGTCTTCCCCACTGGGGTCCATGCACACTCTACACGTGGTATGTCTTGGTCTACGCCAGGCCCCTTCATAAGGTTTTATCTCTTGGACATGTCTGGCTTCTTTTCATCGTCTGTGCTTGCTGGGGCAACACAGGACTGGGGAGGGGGCAGTGGGTCAGTAGGTATCTGGCCCCCCCTGGACATAATGCACTTATGTTTTCCCATGCTCCTTAGGGACCCAGGAAACATGGTGCGCAGTAAGCCCCATACAGGGCTGGAGGACGATAATCCCCACGATAATGGGGGGGAGAGCTTTCCCCATTATTTTCCATGCACACTCTTCACGAGGTAAGCATGTCTGAGTGTGCTCTACCAGCCAAGTAAACTGCGGCCCCGACTTCTCCACGGTCACAGCCGGAGGAGAAGAAGTTGCGGTGCAGTGGCTGTTAACCAAAAGCCGGTATGGGGCAGTGTGATGGGCCGATGTTGTTGGACGACAGGACGTTTATGCATCAGGGCTCCACCCACTGTACCCATAGAGTCCAGTAGAGGGCGGAGCCTGTGTAAGATATAACGGGGGGTTACGTATTGTAACCCTAGTTATATAAGCACAGGCGGAGCCCTCTACTTGGGGCCCTATCTGTTCTATGCCGCTCGCTGAAGAGGGTGTAGGATGACAGTCAGGAGGCGTGGCCGCCTTATATACGGTGGGCTTGCGTGCGCATTCAGGTAGGCCCGCCCCGAGGGGCCGGCTACGTTTATAGATATCTCAGTAGGTGAATGCTTGCATAGTACGGTTAAGAGGTAGTACCCATAGAGTCCAGTAGAGGGCTCCGCCTGTGCTTATATAACTAGGGTTACAATATGTAACTCCCTGTTTCTACTGTACCATGGCAAATATACAAATAAATATCACTTCTGGACGTAGCACTTAAAAGGTTTGGCTTGTTTGAAACCAATACACGAGCACTTGGTTTGGCTTTTTAAAAGCTAATGTACTTGAAGGATTTTTGCTTTTTTAGTTTGTGTCTTCATGGTCAGATGCAATTTTGTAAGCAGCTTTGGATAAAAGCATCAGCTAAATGTAATGTAATAACATCTTCCTGTGTACTTTCAGATGTCCCCTCACCTGCAGCGAATCGAGCCTCCTTCTCTCCGTCACTCAGGTCGCTGTAAGCATCGTTCTCGATCCTCCTCTCCTCCTTCTGCAGACTGTTCTGCACCGCGCTCCCCAGCGGCCCCGCGGTTGGTTTGCCCCAGCTCTGCCACTCGATCATGTGGGCAACGCGACCGTGGGCCATGGCAGTGGGCTTAGTCACTTTGTCCTTCATGGAGCGAGGCACACCTACAACAGGTATGGGGCAGCAGGAGGGGCACATTCACACACACACACACACACACACACACACACACACACACACACACACACACACACACACACACACAGACAACACACACCAGACACACACAAACACTGTCAGAACTACTTCTGGCCTCTGCAGTTGATGACACCTCCAGCTGAGGCCCGGGGGGGGGGGGGGGGGGGAGGGAAACTGTCTAATACATGAAACTGTCATAAATAATGCCAATGGGGTTATGAATGTACAATTTAACAATGTAACAATTTTTCTTTTTAAGCAAAAATCTGCCTGATACTTTTAACCTCTTACTTAATGAACCCTCCTGCTGGTGTTGTTAAGGATTCAATTACTAAATGCCATGCCATGGTGTGAATATGTATTTATTCTAAACAAACCTACAGCTAACCTTTAAACCACTGCTGCTTCAAACATCAGTCAGTAGAGCTAAACCTGAGAATATCAACCAGATACTTGCAAAGTACCTTCACCAAAACCTTTGACATTTTCCACTTTTCAGTTATTACCCCTATGCCGTTCATCAAAATGAGTCTTGACAGTCACCACTCACCATCTATTCATTTCAATTTAATCGTATTCTATTTGAAATACTAATGACGTATGTGACTGATATGGATGTGCAGAGAATGATGATAAAATCTCATGACCTCCAGTGTTTCCCCTATATACAAATAGTGGCGGTGCAGCGCCGCTGCTGAAATATGCGTGCCGCTGCTAGGGCACCAGCCAGGTACCCTAACAAAAATAACAAAAAATATTTGTTTTACTTTCTTTTTTTTTTATTAAAATAATAATAAGTGGCCCTTTTTCCTTTTTGATTGTTTATGTGGATTTGTAGTATTTGTGTTACTGTATATTCAATAAAGGTGTATTTTTGCTAAATCTTGAGACATTGCCACTGTATGTACTAGGCAGGGCCGATTTTTGGCATAGGCGACATAGGCGGTTGCCTAGGGCGCCAGATCTGGGGGGCGCTGCGCTAGTAGCTCTGGGAGGGGAAAAAACATTTTTGACCGTTGCCGCTCATCCTAATTTTCGGCCTTGATGTAACAACATTCATAATTAAGTAAATGTAACACCCTTTTCACCCCTGTTACACTTTTCATTTGCCCTGTACGATGGGCGCTGCAAGTGATGAAAGTGGGGGATGTTGGCTTATCATTTTTGGCCCGCAGTTCACAGCCAAAGTGCGAGCGTGGGAGCGAGAGAGCGAGCGAGGGAGGGAGAGAGAGAGAGGGCGCACCGGTACCGGCACTGTTGTTATTAGAATCTGGTGCTAGCTGCGCTAACGGATATAAGAAGTAGATGTTTCTACAACCAGGGTGGAGGATAGCTCTCCTGTCAGGCTGAGAGGCTCAGTGAGGTAAAGGACTCTCTGAGTGTTTAGATAGTTAATTTTAGTCTAAGTTATCTCAGTGGGTCTCAAACGTTTTGACCACAAATTATGTAAACACATATTTCCAAGGCACTCCTTTATAATTATTAGGATAAATAAAAACAAGTTTGAAATCATTCCAATGTATACTATAGGCAGGGGTGCACATAACTGGTACGCATGCACGGCAACAATCTGAAATGCGCATTTGCATACCGACGTACTTGTGAAGCTTTTCCAGAAGGCGGTTAGATCACCGGACGACAGAGTCGGTCTCCGTGTGCACAGACAGGGCTGCTGTCTACGGCAACCGGCTACCGAGGGAGACTCCCCCCCTTCACTGGAGAACTGCGCTAAAACGCAAGTTCATGCTTGATAAAGGAAATTATGAAGGCCTGAAACAAGAAATGATTGGGACAGACTGGGCACAGACCTTTTAAAACAAGTCAGCTTCAGCACAGTGGGAGGCCATTGAAGAAAAACAATTCTAACAAGTTGCAAGAGGCACATCCCTATGTCATCGGGAAAAAGTAAGAAAAATCGCTCTACTCCGGAATGGATAAATGATAGAATCAAACATCAAATCAAATCAAAAAGTGCAGCTTACACCTTACAAAGGTTATCTGGTACAGAGAGTGACCGTTGTTCCTATGCAAAATTGTGCAACCAAGTTAAATGGGAGTGTCGGAAAGCTAAAAAAGAGCATGAAAGAAAAATTGCAAAGGAATTTTTCCGAAAGCTTTTTATAAATATGCCAGAAGCAACCTAAAAGTCAATGCCACAGTCGGAGATCTGAAAAAGACTAATGGCAGCCTGGCTCAAAATGACAAGGACAAAGCCAATACACTAAATTCCTTCATTGCTAGTGTGTTCACAAAGGAGGATACCTCATCAATACCAGACTTCCAGGACAGACCATTTAATACTACACTAAATAAATTGGACTTCACATTAAAGGACATCCATACAAAACTATCGAACTTAGATGCCTCAAAAGCATCAGGACCGGATGGCATCTATCCCAGGATTCTCAAAGAACTGTGTGACGAACTAGATAAACCCTTACTTACTATATTTTAAAAATCGCTTGATGAAGGTGTGGTACCACAGCCTTGGAAGGATGGTCATGTAACTCCTATATTCAAAAAAGGTGACCGAAGCAATCCTGGCAACTATAGGCCTGTCAGCCTTACAGCAGTAGTATGCAAACTCCTTGAATCCTTGGTGCGGGATGCCGTCATAGAACATCTTGACTCAAACAACCTATTATCAGACCGCCAACACGGCTTCGTCCATGGCAGATCCTGTTCAACCCAACTCCTGGCCTGCCTTGACATATGGTCTCGTACCCTGGACGAGAGAGGAAGTCTCGATGCTATTTATTTGGATTTCCAGAAAGCATTTGATACTGTACCTCACAAAAGATTACTGAAGAAGCTCTATGGGTATGGTATCTGTGGAGACATACTCACCTGGATCTCAGACTTTCTCAAAAACAGGCGACAGAGAGTCTTTGTTAACGGGAAACCATCTGGATGGTGCCCAGTTCTCAGTGGAATTCCACAAGGTAGTGTCCTGGGTCCTGCACTGTTTGTCCTCTATATCAATGACCTACCCGATAATGTGAGCTCCATGGTCCAGATGTTTGCAGATGATACAAAAGTCTTCAAGGAAATTAAGTGTAAAGAGGATGCAGAAAAACTCCAGTCAGATCTCAGAGAAATGCAAAGATGGTCCGAGTGTTGGCAGCTCAAATTCAATGCAGCAAAGTGCAAAGTAATGCACTTAGGGTTTCGGAATCAAAAATATGAGTATAATATGGGTGATAATTCAAACACTACAGTATAAACCTATCCGAGACTCAGAATGAAAAGGACCTTGGTGTGAATGTTGACTATTGTCAACTGTCAACTGTTGTCAACCCTGACATTTAGTGACCATATCCGTCGGGCAAGTAACAAAGCGAATGGTATCCTAGCAATGATCCGCAGATCATACACTTATTTGGACTCTGACGTAGTACGTAGTTTATACATCTCTCTTGTATGGCCACTCCTCGAGTATGGGAATGTCGCTTGGTCCGCCATGTACAAAAAGGATGCTGAGCTCATCGAGAAAATACAGAGAAGGGCAACGAAGCTGGCTCCAGAACTAAAGGACCTACCATATCAAGAACGACTGCAAAGTCTTAAAATCCCGAGTATGTATTATAGAAGGGCGAGGGGAGATATGATCGAAGTTTTCAAATATCTCCACAACATCTACAAAACATCATGCCCACTACAACGGGATTATAACACCAGGACTCGTGGACTTGTGGAATGATCTGCCAGAAAGTGTTGTCACATCCAAGACGATTAACTGTCTCAAATCCCGCCTCGACCATTACTCGTCAAACATCACCTTCACTTTGGACTATGTGACTGTTGCCAGCATCCATAGTAAATAAAGAATCAGTGATCTACTTATTTATTTATGAGCGACTGAAAGGCCTTAGGCCTATTACAGCCGTATCCTATTGATTGATATTGATTAATTGAAAACAGCTGATCACAACGTTCACGCTCTGTGGTCACGAAGTACTCCACTAGCCCCCCCCCCCGTCGACTTTCCTGAAGTACTCCACTAGCACCCTCACCCATCCCCCCCCCCCCCCCCCGTTGACGTTCGCGATACAGAGGGCTTCATCACATACACATACACATGAATACTAATTCACGAACACAATACTGAATACATTTGAAGCAATTTTGACGTATATCTATGTCAATACGTTTCTGTTTTTGTAGTGTATTTGTCTTTAGTAGAGATTTTCATTTATTCTTTATATATACAATCTCGCCTAGGGCAGCAAATTGGCTAGAACCGGCCCTGGTACTAGGCCTCAAGAGCCTTTCTTGTGCTGGCAGACACATAGAAACAAATTGGCGGGGCGCACTTTGCACACACTAAAACATACCACGCGCTCCGCGCTCACATTATGCTGGGCCCACGTGCCTTAGCACCGCTGCTATGACTCCATCCTAGGGGAAACACTGACCTCATTTAGTAACGAGTGGATTCTGAAATGTTACTTAAATATATATATATATATATCTCTCAGTCTGTTGAGATTCGGATAAAAGCTGAGTATACTCCAAAGGTAAGTTTTCTTTAAGTTGTTCCTCCTTGAACTCATCAAATGTTATTTTGTATTAATAATTACATATCCCATCTTTGGGATCTTATTAAATAAAAGTCTGAAATATTCAAATAACTTTATGAATGGAGATCCTATTAGTACATCTTAAATAAACAAATACATTAAATTATCTGAATCTGCGTCATAAAAATGCAGATTTCTACAAAGACCGGTCAGAGGCCAGGTGACATGAGCTAGCTATGGTGACGAATTTGACAGGGTTGCCTGTGTGCTTGATTCAAACAGAACGGTGCTTGGATGACGGCTGAAACGCTGACTAACCCATATTAATGATTAAAGCCATTACTCATCTCCTGGTAAACAGAATAAATGAGATTCATTAGACTTTCCGTAATTAAAAACGTCGCGCAGGGACTGAGAGAGGCACAGAAAAGTCATTGTTGGGTGTA